TTACTCTCAGCTGTGCTCTCGATCCGGATCATACTCCATACTGTTGCGAATTCTCTGTTGGTTTCAACTGTGATTGAAACAATCAGTGGCACCTGGCCTAATGATGAAGTATCCTGATATAGCTCAATACCACGAGCTTCCCAAACCTCATTCACTGAAACATATCATCGTGCACTGGTTCGTTCGGAAACGTTGCTTTGTTCCGACCTACTCTCAGAACTCCGAACGATGTCCCGAGTCCACATGTGGCTGGACCTTTTCCAGCGATATGTGGCAACCTACTTCCAGATTTCCTACCACCTCCTCTAGCTTTCACTCCGCCACGCTTCCAGTGCGCTTCCTTCGACAGATCCGCTAGCTGATTTCTCCCGCCATTTAAATCGCATAGCCTATGCTCTTCGCCCAATGAAGCCACCGAGCCCACTTTCCTTCGGTATCAGCAGGCGAGGTCTTCTCATTTTCGAAGACAACCAAGCTCCAGTGGCTCACTAGTAGTGGACATCCCGTTCATTCGCCTGGGATCCCAAGAAAGGTGATCCAATGGGGAAGCCTTTCTTGAGATATTGGATTCAGTATATTGATATTAACTCGCTCGACGTTCTCTTGAGACAAGCAATGAACGGACTGAGTCTGTCAGACGCTATCATTTTCTAAATCTTTGTCATTTGCTTCGCATTTTATCACGATTAAATCGCTCTGCAAGTGAATGTGCTTCCCGCGCTCTCTTTCCGGGGAGAGGCGACAGCTACTGAGTACCTCGGCAAGTGACGGCCCTACTTGGGTTTGCTTCCTCCCACGAGTCGTAGCAAGAACTACTGCGACCGGGTTCTCGAAATCTGCAAATAGGTGCCCTAGCTTCGCAGCTATGCGTCCGTGACGATTTTCAGAAGCACGGTTTCACTGAAGTCGACGAAGGGGTGAGGTAAGCTTGCAGAAAGCCTATAACGGAGTAAGCCGCTGGCTTTCTCTGAGCAAGTTTCTCATCTCGGTCTGAGTCGTATCACCGTACATTTGGGTAGCTCCACATCTTGATAGCGTTTTATTTCTCCCAGGAGGGCGATCCCGCAGCCACATGGATGCAAGAAGAGGCGGGCCTCAGTGGGTTGCTCTCTTTTCTCATCACCAAGGGACCGTGTAATTCGAATGCGAGCTCAGGCACGACGGTCCCGAATGATTACGAAGCTCGACCATTGCTCTCGATCTTCTTCGCTTTATTCAAATGTTCATCCTCATCAAAGTGGGCTGGGAACCAAGCTCACAACGTGTTATGGATCGACGAACCCGCTGGAGTCGGTTTCAGTACAGTACTGACAGTCTGCACAGTACTGGGACGGTCTTCGAGACGGTACTTGGAGACGGTCCTGCCAGTACTGACAGTACTGGCAAGACAGAAGGGGTGACAGACCCAACGACTCGTGCATTTCGGCTGACTATCATCACTATCGGACATGCGACTGTGTCGCTCACAGGCGGAACTCTACCGTTGGTTTTTTTCAATAAGTTTCCACACTAAAACCATCGAGTCCACCTGTTTTGCTCCTCCCAGGCGGGCGAATCCTGACAAGCAGCCACTGGAGGACTAAAACGTTGCGCTCCGAAAAGGTTTGGTGATCTCGATAACTGCCGACTCGGCGGTACCGAGCTAATTTACAAGTATAACAGAGGGAACGAGAGGCAGGTGATTTTTCTGCCCGAAGATGTTAGCATTAACATGTTAATTTCCCATCAGATTCGGGGCGAGAGGTGATCTCAGCGACACGCCTATGGCAGTTACGACGTGAGAGATGTATACCAGAATCGAGTTCCATATCACTGCCGACCATATACTGATGTATATACACATCGGTTTGGCACACGCCTCGAATCGTTGCGATGTTCAGGTCGAGAAGTTCCTCAAAAAGCCGAGAAGTCGAAAAGTTAAGAAGAGCTCCGAAGTAGACCCGGCATTTGTCTATGAGCGCTACAACCCAGAGGTGTGCCCGTCATGATTGTCCTCGTTCAGGTAGACGAGGCTATACGGCGCAGTCCCGGATTCTACGCGGACTCCTATCAAACTCCTGGTCCATTGATGGACAGCAAGTTGCTGTCAGCAACGCCCTGAAAGTGAGATAAGCTTTGCATCATAAAAGAGTGATAAGAACACTAGAGGTGTTATATGCATGGATCCGCATCCGATTTGAGCAATCCACCGGAAGAACAGCAGTGCTTATACGCCAAGTGCTCGAAGTTGGAGGTGCGATTGCCTCACCGTTAGGCGATCGCACCTCCAACGCCCGAGCGCTTGGAGTTAGGCCCTAACAAGTCGTAAGTAACGATGCTCGACAGAAACCGTGAAGATTTCGTCAGGTATCCTCAGTATGGAGTTGAAAGACTGTAAATTTACGTTTTCGACGATGGGAAGTATAGAAGTACTGTTGCAGTGGATCTGGTGGTTTGGATAGTAGTGGAAACCCCAAATCGATTATAGGTTTTTACTCCATGAAGTTTACTATCTACGTATCTCCTCATATAGCTTGAGCACGAACATGAGCATACATGGCTACACAGCGATGAGATATCAAGTTGATAACCGTTGGTATCGTCAACGGAGTCTGCAGTGGTTTGACGCAGTCATCCACACTTTAGCTCGTCCAACTCCTACAACTTGTGGAGTGCGAATAGCGCATATCGAGATGCGGTGAAAGTGAGCTTTCATTGGTTGGAATTCGTCTTGTGCTCAACGAATTTGAAATTGCGTTCCCGAATTCATGAATTTCGTTTGCCAATTTGAACTTTCACTCTCGATGGGTCTACAAAAATCGAGCTTTCATTCTGAATCTGAACTTTCATTCCGTGGGAAGCTCTTCTCGAAAATCAAATTTCATTTATCGAGTTCGTTCTTTCACTTGCTAAATTTGAGATTGAAAAGGTGTAGTATACTCTATGTCATGTTCATTCAAGTTCACAAGGTCGTTGTAGTTCCTTCAACCAAGCACAATATCTTCAATGTTGCACATGCGAACACCCTGAGTATGTCTCACTGGTTCGTTACTCTCAAATAGTAGAGCTGTTGACGTGTTCCAGGGGGGGAAAGGATTCCTACCATCGAAATCCATGCCATTATATCATGATATCCGATGCTGTCTGCATAGCCATACAAACTGACAAGGTAGACATAATCTCAAACTCACCGGCAATTGCTCAAGGATAAGGGCTCAGTACAAACAAGGCGTGACTAACAGTTGGCAGTCGAAGCAATGGCTGATCGACACTGCTATCGAGGAGAGCACCGCCGGCGTTGATGATTGACTCGAGTGGCGAGTTAGAATACTAAGTAGAAGCAAACTATGGCATACCCTTGGGAATCAGCGAGATTTCTCCTCAGTCACCTCGTAGCGGTCGATGTATTGCTCGACTCTAGCATGCAAATATAGGCATCCTGTCGATGCTCTTCTGATAGCCAACTCCTTCACATCTTGTGACTCACAAGCACAGTCCTATGTAATGCCAATAGGCTCACCACCGCTAGAGTCTTCATCATAGAGATACACTCCTGCCGTATTCGTTACGTACGTAACATTGCTATGTATGTGACACATCAACGATGTGTCACATACTGCTATGATGTGACATCGTACCATTGTTGTGATATGTTATGACAACAATAAGATGTGCTGTGTATGTATTTCTACGTGTTATCATTTTTCCATCAGAAAACAATACAACAACAATACCTACTTCTTCAGAAACATCATCTTTATTTCATCATGACACTATCACAATTCACAACGATGTCCACAGAATACCACATAGCATCCTTAGCAGTTTCAATGCTCCCAATGCCGCCAAGCCGATCCAACGTATTACGAACCTCGCCCTCAGCACCACTACTAATACTTTCCTTCTTGTCACACTCATACGTCGTCAATACACTACACACAACTCTAAGTGCATCCAATTTCAACATCATAATCACACCCGTATTCGCCAGAATCGAAGCCGCGAGCTGCCGACTCAGCATAGCCGACGGCGTGTATCTTTTCCCCACAGCAATATCTATCACCGTTGCCAAATCCACCATATTTATATCATACGCGTAAGACGTCAAAATACTATAAACGTCGATGGGTGAAATATTCCGATTATCCGAACTCAGGTCCTTCAAACACCTCCTTCGTATTCGCTCATCCACTTTCCACTGCAAACTACCACACGCCCATAAAATCGTCGAATAATCCCGAGCCTGTAACCAGCTCAATCGGCCTCCCCATCTCAATGGATTTTCCTCTGCTGGCCGATACCGTAACGTAGCGAACGCGTGTAAGAGTACAGCATATGTCCTCCAGCTAAGCCCAAACACTCTATTATTTACAAACCGTAAAATGCAAATTAAACAAGCCTCATGCATATATTCCAATCGAGCAAACGCCGCCGCCAACGAACATACCTCAATTTCGCCAAATCCTTCCAATGCAAACTCACTACAAAGATTTTCCGCTAAAAAATTGAGTAAAACTTCATGTCTTCGATCTACTCCCGCATAGGCCACCAGCAAATCCAAAGATACTCTACTCGGAAATCTTCGCTGTGCGCATTCCCTCGTCACCCAGTGTCCCACAACATCCGCCAGGCGAGCCGACACCGTCCGATTTCGTGAGAGCAGATCAAAAACGTCCACCACGATCGGCAGAGAATTGCGAGTCGCCTCTGGCAAACTGCATAATTTCAGCAGCCATTCCGATGCCACCATCAACGCCCTCTTGGACGGTCTCTTGCTGGCTACTGGGGCCAACACGTCGATCAAACTCCCACCTGTCATATTGGCGTAATCTCTGATACAACACCCATGCACGACTCATACTGCACCATCTAACAAAATCAGACCAATTCCAGAAGGAGTGGTATCACCCTAGAACCCAACACATCACTATTCCAAAACATTGTCCTAAACGTTGAGTTCATGATGATTCGAACCTCATCTTCAATGCAACATACGAAACCGATCACCAACACCATGGAACAAAATATACCTTCCCATCTCATAACGATGCCGGTCGTGGTGGACACAGCTCTCGAGCAACCTACAATACGACCAATACCGGAGTCGCGGAATTTATCACTGAAATACAAATTCCCACATTTTCAACATTAGCTTTGACGTATACGCAATATACGAGCTGTACACATCGAATCTGTTGTCACCAATGCAACACATTGGAATACAGACTTTGTATATACAGAGTATTCCGAGTTTTAGGCTCCCGGGCGTCTTCAAAGAACTTTTCTCGGTGATACACTCAAGTGACGACGATACAACCGTCATTAGCTGCTCGTAATATTAGGGCGCGCGTAATCTTGTGCACGATTATTCTTTTGACCGTGTAATATGAATTGAACATTGAATTTAAATTTTATTCATCTGGGCACACGCTGAAAATCTGATCGATTTTCACCATACCACATTTCCCACCCATTTCTACCACACCAAGAGTGCCAACTAAAATCACACGCAGCCTTGCCCCCACCACATCACATACGATTCGTATATGAGGAATCCGCATAATACAAACATTACAAAAATACCAAATCTTGCAATCTTGCATTTCCTCAACGCCGACCCCTTACCGTAGGGTCGAATTTCAACCAATCGTGAATGCACCATTTCCTCTCCACCGCCGCCCTAAATTCAGTTCGCCAATCCGCAAAGTCCATCTCTTCCGAGAACCATGACCCCCGACGAGCAACCTCCTCTGCATCCTTACAGTGTGGACCTAGCACGCATGCACACTCCAAAGATACCCTCTCCAACAACGCACTACGAATAATTACTTTGTGCATGCAACACAAATAAGCCCATCATAGCCCCAAGATACCACACCGAGTGGAGGAAGTAACGTCGAGCTGATGCCGCGGTCGGATTTTTACTAAACTTCGCAAACCCGTATCGGTAATACACCCAATTCGGCACCTACTACAAGCAATACAAATGCAAACAGTACGCCTCAGTACTAGGTCTTCGTGACCGAGTGGTGGAGCGCGCGTCTATTGATTCTATCATCACTCGATCATCCCGGTTCGATCCCCACGTTGGGCATTTCTCCGTCAAAAAGGTTTTCGTACATATCTTTGAGCTATTCGCATAATCGTGTTTTTGAATTCCTGCGCAAACCTCGGCACACAGAGAAGTCGTTTGATCCACGTGGTTCCCTTCTAAGTCTGCACGCATGCACAACGCAAAACTGCCTGTTGTTGTGGTATGTGCTCCGTTCGCTTCGAAATAACAAAAACCACCTAAACCATTTCGGGGCGAGCGAAACATATACTGTCGAGTTCTCTATGAGCTCATTTATCAACTACCACTTCAGCTAAGCCCTCGAGACCTATATCGATGACTTGCATCAGCTCCATATTTTTGACAAACCCATCTCCGCGTGGTATGAAATTATATAATTTCAAAATAAAATTCGGCACTAAAAAGTATTTTCCAATAAAATATAAATAATAATAATAACATCATCGAATATTTCATAATAAATTCTCGGAATTTACGATTCTGGATTTCACATAACTAGACGCAACAACAGAGATATTCCAACACTACGTCTCCACCCTCAGCCGTTACTACCATCGCCGAGAATGCAAACATCCAACTAGTCACACCCAGCCCCGAAGCCACCACTGGTAGTACAGCTAACCCTACCATATACGGCCAACCTGATGAACAGATGAAAAATAACAAAAGTAAATATATAAATTCCCCAATTTCGTAAAGAGCTCCGTCGGGAATCGACCAGATTAGGAGAGAGAACACTCTCATTAGCAAAGAACGACGAGCTCAATCCCACTTGGCAAAAAATGGTAATGTTAATTTCTCTTTCACCACTACAAACAAATTCAAACATATCGCTTTAGTATGCAATGAGTTGATAACATTACATGATCAATTTTCAGTGTAGGAATGTATGTTTAGTTTCCTCAACTGAGCTTCTGATCAATTTGGGAAGAAGTATACAAAAATTTCCTCAAAATTTCCATATTCCTAGCAACACATGTAGTTGACCATGCGCATATATTCCCACACTGTCCAATTTCCAGAATTTTCCCGAGAAAAAAAATAACATTTCTACTACGCATTTTCCCCTCGTTACACATAGCTGCTGTTTTACGACCAGTATCATCATCCAGTGGGAACATCTTGTACCCCGCAGCTGAGTAGTCGGATCTATATAACCACGCTAACGCGTAGAAGTGAGGGAATTGCCATAACGTTTGTAACTAAACGTGAAAACGAAAAAATCAACTACTTCAACTCTCCAATGTGGCACGGGCGCCGCATGTGAGGGCTTGTCCTTATTTAGGAGATCTCCTGTGATAGTACACAAAGCTGATGCTATTGAGCTATCCCTCTAGCACTCCATACTACTAAGCTCATGGTACAAGTTTGTATTTCCACTTAACCTTTATATCGTTGAGTTCTAGAGGTCATGATTCCGGTGCTACAGCTGACGCGCATGGAAACCACGAAAATCAACTTTAGTCTACCCAATTCGAGATGATGTGACGCTTTTGTGTTTCCAGGTCTCCTCTGCAGCGAATCTTCTATTTTCGCAATAGAAAAATTCATCTCGCGAAACCTATTGTTATGTTAAAAGTAATAAAAAATGTTTCTTGCAATTTTTTCTCTATAATTATCATAATCTCGTAAAAAGTTATAACTCCACCTAACTATCATCTCACTATTATATTCTTCCAACAAACCATCACTACCGTCAACAGCAACAGCAGTAGCAGAGCAATATTCCCTATTACCATGAATAGCATCCACGGTGCGAAGTCAGCAAATAGCGGTACGCCAGCCACCGAGAATCCAATCAGGACTGGCAAAGACCCCGCTATAGAGCCTAAGAAAATCCTACCATTTATACCACTCCTTCTCCATTTCCTACCAATATGCGTATTATATGGCGACTTAGTTTTCATGGGAGTATATACCATCGTATAAAGCGCCGCTGTCGACAATGCCACTATCACCGGGACCGCGCCTAAAACAAGTGTTGGAAATTATGCATCGTAAAATCCTCGGAAATTATATATTACTACTACAGCGCCAACTAGCGCGAAAGTTCGGCAAATTTTCGCCGATTTTCTACAGAAGACCAACAACTACTACTATGCTCCCCTGTTCGCAGTTGCTAATTTATAATTTTTTTATGCCAATAAATGATCACCAGTTCATACCGTAAATTTCTAAGCGAGCGAAGCATATACCTTCACTTCATTTTCTATGTGTTAGTTCGTTCAGACTATTCCTCTACTACTACACCAGTTGAGCTCTCGAGACACATACAATTCGGAAAAGCGTAATTCATCTAACTTGCTGAAAAATATAAACTCGCCTTAGCCCACCCTATATAGCCCCTGTAAACGCCATGACTTTGAACCAGCAAAAAATTCTCGAAAAATGCCCTCGCCAGGGATCGAACCCGCGACCATTACAAACTTCGACCCATTCACTCGATGATTGAGCAAATGAATCACTTCAATGAATACTAACATACGTTTATTATTTCAATGATAATATAACAAAAAGCTCACCTATATTCAAGTTTCACAACAACCCGTTTTACGTGAAGTAGCGTAAAACTCGGTGAAAAACGCGATATTCGCGGCGATATGAAGTGACCGTGCAATATATTTTTCATATCACTAGGGTGAGACTTCATTGGAGTTTCACCCGTTTTACGTGAAGTGGCGTCAAACTCCGTGAAAAACGCGTTATTCGCGCCCTGCAATAGTTGTGAAATGTGTTTCGCTAGTGTTTTTCATATCACTAGGGTGAGACTTCATATTCATTTCAATTTCTCAATGATCAAAATTCCAACACCACCTCTTCCTACTCCTACCGCCAACACTATAGAGTATTCCGTTCCCAACACCACATGTAAGAGCGGCGAATACACCGGCCTCAAACGTCGTTATCCGACCAGTTGGTAGTGGACGAGACTTAGTTCCTGACGATCACAACAATAACATAGGAGGTAAGAAAATATATATCACGACTACTGCATATCACCGCAAATGTTGTTTTTTTTTCACCACTCCACATAAAACGGGTTATGAAATTCCAATAAAAATAAAGTTATAAAATACAGAACTCATTATTTCATACAACTATCATAACAATTTGCTGAGTAACCGAGATGAAAATACAGGAGGAAAAATTTCAAAAAAATAAAAGTTTCCGGAAAGAATTTTCAAAATTCCAGAATCTGCTACAAATCCCACTGCGTAGAACACTTAAACTCCAATATATAAATCTATGATGATAAAAATCACTTACAAAAAAATCACTATCGTATGAAGTGAATAGAATCGCTAAATGTATAAATCTATGATAATAAAAATCACTTACAAAAACTCTCTTACGAAGTGAATAGAATCGCTAAATGTATAAATCCATGATAATAAAAATCACTTACAAAAACTCTCGTACGAAGTTACTAAAGTCGCTAAATGTATAAATCTATGATGGTAAAAATCACTTAGAAAAACTCTCTTACGAATTAACTAAAGTCGCTAAATGTATAACCCTATGATAATAAAAATCCCTTCCAAAAACCATCACATGAAGTAAGTAGAGCATCTGATATTGTCGCCATCATCATATTTCGAATCCAACCCCAATGCTCCTACGCGTCATATTTCCATCTCTTTCCTTCTCCATTATTTGATTAACCGCTTGAGACGACGCCGCGCACAGCAGAGTGCCCATGAACACTCCTGTTGAGTTCAATACTACACTCCCAATAGCACCAGTAAGGAGACCACATGATACCAAATATCCTGGCAATGCTGATAACGCTGCATACACTGACAGCCCCCCTTTAGATAGTTTCTGAGGAGAAAAAAATATTTTCCTTTTTGAGCGGAAAAAATTACGAAAAAAATATGAAAATTTTCACACTTTCATATCGAATAGTGCAGTTTAACAGCAACCCGTTTTACGTGAAGCGGCGTAAAACTCGGTGAAAACGCGACATTCGCGGTGATATGCAGTAGTCGTGAAATGTGTTTTTCATATTACTAGGGTGGTGAAACTCCATCACATATTAATAATGATGAAGTTTCACCCGTTTTACACGAAATTCACTGCTCACATGCGTTTTTCGCCAAGTGAAATTTCATATCACTAGGGTGAAACTCCAACGGCGTTTCACCCGCGATATGGAAAACACTAGCGAAAATATATTTCACGACCATTGCGTAGCGCTATTATCACGTTTTTCACCGAGTTTTACACCACTTTACGTAAAACGGGTTGTGAAACTCCAATATACTATACATGTAAATTTCTTTCTACTGCATATACCAAGACTCTGCCTTTCATTTCGCGTAGCTGCCGAGTTCGCAAACGTACTCCTATACTGTTGAAGAGCAGCAGCAGCAACAGCAGCAGCAGAGTGCTGTTGTTGCTGCTGTATAAAATAATATTATCATCCTTACTATAAATACCATTTACTGGTCTCGAGAAATTCAAGACGGCCAAATGAGTTGTTGATTATTGATTCTGACGCCTGCCCCAAAAATTTCTTTCATATGAGGATCCGACGACGGCGACGAGCAGCAGCAACAAAACCCTCCTAATTTCTTTTACGACGACGTGACCGACGAGGTGGTTGAGAATTCTCCTCACCCAGTAGTCTCTGGCAACCGCTCTCAATTTCATTTTACTACGACCACCACCAACGACGACCTCGTTTCTGGCGTCCAAAGATACTAAACGTGCCACCTGGACAAGATACAAATGAGGTCCAAAACATGCTCAAAAAATTGTCAGGAAATTCTTATTGCTTTCTATACACTTCTACCCGAATTCCTGTGTAAGCTTCCAGACTCAGCTGAGGAAAGGAGAAAAATTCTTTAACAACTTACTTTCAAATTCACAAGTGGTGATTTGATATCTGTAGGAGCACCAGTAGAAGTCGATGTACGAGTTGTAATAATACATATACTATTCCTCATTTCTACACCGGCGAAAACCTAAAAAATATAATATTGGAGTTTACCAACAACCCGTTTTACGTGAAGTGACGTAAAACTCGGTGTAAAACGCGATATTCGCGGTGATATGCAGTAGTAATCGTGAAATATATTTCTCACTAGTGTTTTTCATATCACTAGGGTGAAATTCCAATGACCTCCTAATGTGATGAATAATAATAATAATCATTTTTTGCGCTTCGCTCCGCCGACACAATTATGTGATAATGATGGAAACAATACTATGTGACGGACAGCCTAGTTATTTTACTAACTTTGATCGGTAATTTTTATAAATGATTCTTATCTTCATATGCTAATATATTCCAGTTTCACCCTAGTGATGGTGAAAAACACATTTCACTTTGCGAAAAACGCGCGAAACTCCATTATTTCTCTCCCAGTACATTTACGTATTATTTTAGTCTTCATAAATTGTATATATTTTTCTTATCTTCATTGCAGTTTCACCCTAGTGATATGAATAAAACACTAGTAAAAAAATCATTTCACAACTACTGCGTGAATATCGCGTTTTTTCACCAAGTATTACGCCACTTCGCGTAACACGGGTTGTTGTGAAACTCCATAGAATTATATATTGTTCTTATTTTCATAGATTTATATTTATAGAATTTATATATTGGAGTTTCACCCTAGTGATATGAAAAACACTAGTGAAAAACACATTTCACGACTACTGCATAGTGTGAATATCGCGTTTTTCACCGAGTTTTACGCCACTTCACGTGAAACGGGTTGTTGTGAAACTCCATTATATTTGCATATTAATCTTCCTACAAGATGATTCCACTCTTGTTATCAACTCCTAAAGCCCAAGGCCACTTACCTTAGCTGAGTTTATGATTTTGCTAGTCACCGAAACGGGGAATCGTCTTGACGACGATGACGAACTAATGAGCAACATACAGCTCTAGAAGGGATGTGAAAAATATGTTAAAAAAAATACAATGGTAAAATCTGAAAAAATACACAAATTTTCTGGGAAAATTTCCGTTGAAATGAGCCATGTTTTGTTGCTAAGGCACGTAAAGAACAAAATAATTAAATTTGGGAATATTCAATATATATGCAATATAGAAATATTTATTATCGAAATTAAAATTATCATTCCACATAACCCTACTTGATAATGGAGTTTCACCACCCTAGTGATATGAAAAACATATTTCACGACTACTGCATATCACCGCGAATATCGCGTTTTTTACGCCATTTCACGTAAAACGGGTTGTTGTTAAACTCCACTATACCAACCAGTGATGGAAAATTGCGTTCCCCAGCATTTGATAACAGTAGGGGATATGTTCCTAATCTGACAACGCTTACATAGAAATAATAATTTAAAATTGCTTTCTGTGTATGCGTGTAAAATTCCAAATGTGTCCTCTCCTGGTCATTCCATCCTATCAACATCATTAACACACGATCTGACCAAGATCCTTACAAACTACGTATACACCCCGTACGTGCTCAGTTTATTTAGCGCTCGCCCTTATAATCGATTTATTGCAATGCTTATGTTGCTTGTCCATATTGGGAAACGTATGATGTAGCATTGCAGACACGTGTCTAATTCCTGTATATGTGGAATGGTAGTATAGACAGTGTGGTCATATAATTACACGTTTGTTCACGGAAATTTGGTATTAATAAATTAATGGGCGGACCTCGTGGAGGCAACATCAAGCATCGACGTAATAATAACAAGACCAACAATACCACACCCTTCCGAACTACTTCACTTCAGCTCGGGGTGGTACTGCTCACGGTCGAGGACGAGGACCTCTCAGAGGCTCAATACACGGCAAGGGCCATCGTGGGCCCGTCAAAGAAGAAGACCGTAATAATCTTCGTGTCACCACAGAGTGTCACCACCCCCGGTTCCAGGGCCACCCCCGTTATGTGAAGAGGATGTCCGTATTATGGCATGTCGAGCGTTCATGACGGGAGACTGCCCACGCGGCGCCGATTGCAGGTACCTCATCCGTGGAGGTCCTCCTGGGCACGAAAAATATCTTTAGGTTCCTTCACTATGTGAAGAGATTACACGAAGTCGTTGATGCCCATTCTGATGGGAAATCGATCAATGATGTTATCCTCATTGGAGATACTCTTTTCACTGGTAGTATCTCAGCTTCCCCTTGGTAAGATACAAAACAGGTCCACAGGTGGCTCCGATGGTAAATTGCGAACATGGAAAGCAGTTCCTACACCAGCCGGTAAGTAAGACTGATTTCCCTATACAGTGTTGGAGTAGGAAAATATATGTTCGCCTTCCTCAGCTGAGCTCAGAAGAGTTTTTAAAGCTAACCATAGAGGTTTATATACGAATTCAGGTAGAAGAATTTTACCCGAATTTTATTCTACTTTCACTAACAATATACAAAAGTTTCCCGAAATTTCCACGAAATTCCCAATGAGTAATATTACGAGACCGAATCGGACGACTGACAATCTCATTGGAACAACATGGATATTTTCAATGAAGTTTTCGAAAATTATACTAATGCATATTCCCCCTTTATTCAGGTCATATCGAATTGACCCCGGACCTTATCGTCGACACAGACGGTCAGCCCGTGATGTCCGTCTACTTCGAACCCGCCCGTGACGAGACCGGTGGTGGAGTTATGTTCTGTGGCCTCCAAGACGGTCGAGTTAGAGTGTAATTTCCTCGTGGTGTGGTATTAGAGATAGCGTTATCAACTCAGATTTGACAAAACGACCGGTGCACAATTTGATCTGGTCGGCCATGGTAAAGCTGTACACAGTTTAGGGGTTCTGCAAGGGGTAGTAGTACTGTGTGACTAACCCTAGTAGACTGCTACTATGTATAGATACTGGTAACTTCGTCGTGGGATGGTACGGTACGGTTGTGGACACCCAAAGAAGGGACTTATCAGAATACTCATACGATAGAGATCGGATATCCAGTTAAATGCATGACGGTAATACCGACGACGATAATGGAAGTGGCTTCAGCCAGTGTGGGAAAATGGGCACATGATCAACTACGTGTGTTGGTGATAATATAGAAACTCTGATGAAATCTAGGGAAATTCTTGGTGGGGGGGGAGCGGCGATTATTATAGTAACGGTGTTACTGTGGACTGCTCGAGCGAAGCGGGGCTATGTATTGCATTTTGTGCGTACGAACTATTTCTTTACACTAGAAAAACACCGCGAAAGAATCAGTCGTATGTTGAAAAATATGTTACATTGCCATACTGTACCAAGAAAGCATTTTTGTATAAAAAGTACCGAGTCTGGGATTTGAACCGGGGGTCCATCAACTTTCAGAAGCAACTTCGCTTAACACGCGGCATGTAATGATCCTACAGCGAAGAATATCATCAATGATATATAAATGATGATGTTGTTGTTATCTCCTTCAGATAGCAGAGCAAACTATGTGGATTGGCGGTGTGTGTGGTATTACTGGTATTAGTATAATGGACCTCACCATACAGGGGAGGATCGACACTCAAAGTCCAGTTATGAATATGTTAATGTAGTAGAGGGCGTATCTTAGGTTACTCTTGGTAAGATACGGAATAGGTCCATTTCTTAGATACGAGAATCATGTAGTGGCCATAACATTGGACGGAAAACTGTTCGTGTTCGATCCAAAGTAGTAGTAGCATTAGTAACAATTTCATGGCGCGCGACATTTTTCTCTCAGTGGTAATGAAACTGCCAGCATGGACTGTGCATTACACTACAATAACAATGGTGAGAAATTACGAAAGCCTTGCTGTAATTCCTGTCTTGATGGAGTCGTGATAAACGGCCAAGCGGCGTGTAAGTCTATATGGGGAATTTTTCCAGGGGTGGGGTTTACAGTGGAGTTTCACCCGTTTTACGTGAAGTGGCGTAAAACTCGGTGAAAAACGCGATATTCGCGGCCTTTTTTCGCTAGTGTTTTTCATATCACTAGGGCATGTGAAATTATCAATATTTTTGATAAGTGTTGGAGGAATATATGTTCGTTTTCCTCAGCTGAGTTGAGACGTTTCCTCATTAATTATAGAAGTTTATATACGAATTCGGGTAGGAAACCGGTAAGAAATTCCCGGTAAGAATTTCCATATTGTCACCAACACATGTGGTTGACCAATGTGCAAATTTTCCAACACTGCTATTGGAATTTTCGAGATTGGTAAATGAGTGTCAATATTGGAAATTTTTTCCTCAGTACTGGTCGGGCAAATGAACGGTAGTGTACGAGCGTATAGTCTGCCCACTTTGAATCCACTGGTGTGGTGGACGACAGCTATGCAGAGAAGGAATGCAGATGTCCGTATTGTGAAGTCAATCGGTGAGATCGCGGGTTCGATCCCGGCATGTTGCACTTTTCCCGTTGTAGTTAACACGAATCTCTTCGTAACAGGGTGTGCCGATGGCAGCTTGTCGTTATGGCAATGGCAGAATATAAGCTGAGTAACTCCCATTGTAAACTACGTTAAAAACCCTATTGTATGCTGTTGCAATATTATTAATATCTCCACCAATGGTGATGGTGACACACACGGGCTTGTGTTTGATACTACAATTGCCGTTTGCGTGCCAATAGGAAGGGACACTGCATTGCAGCCAGTCTCTGCTCTCACAGATATGACATCTTTAGCCTCCAATAGCATTTGTTAAGCACACAAGTCTCAGTATACGTACCCCCTTGGTTGTAGGTATGTCATAGTCAGTATCACTATCATTACGGTAATTACATCCCCACAATCCCCCAGTGAATAACTGTGATTTTGAGTACGAGTATTTCTGATATGCTCGAGCTAAAATGGCATTTCAGCTTGAGGGCTGCGAGCCGTTCCCCGCAACGAATAGTGAGCCAGCGAGATTCGCCCGTACGCACGCGAATGAGTACGAGATTCTAATGTGGGAGAGGCACAGAAGGCAAGTAAGCGCGCGCGATGGAAAGACAAAGGCAACACAAAAACACTTTTTTCACACCATGGTTACCATTGCCGCTACAAGCATCCATGTAGCTTGTCAGTGAAGTTTCCTGGAGAAGGGACAACGCCTGCCGACTCGATAGGGTCGGGGGGAAGCTTGTGACTGGAGCCTCTTGTGGTATCAGCAAAGAAGAGAGCAATTGGCTTAACATTGTGGTTATGCCATCCCCGAGATGGTAAGGGCGACCGTGGTTGTTGTGTGGGCGATTGTAGTAGGAGAGGTGGCCATTGTGTGGTTCTCTCTTCCTCTCATATAATCTTCGTCACCCGGTGAGGTATAGCTATAGAATAATAATAGAATAATAATAATAGCTATAGCTATTATTATCAAGGAGTAACTCGACACACTTCATCTTCACCATACGCCGGCAGAACTCAGACAGCGGAGCTTGCGTGACTAACGTTCGTTACAAAACAACAGCAGCTGAATCGGCCGGGCTCATGAACAACCTCACTAGGATTTATATTCTAGGAAGATGAGTCTGATAATTAGTTTTGATATGTTTGATATCCCCGTAACCAGTGATTATCAACCACCGTCATTTATATCGAATGAAGTTCATACCATCAACGCGACACTTATCGTTGGATCCTGACGCAATAGAAATAGCCATGTGTGGTCTCTGACATGTGACAGCACGGCTGCGAAAGTCATAGCAGAAAGCCTACTGTACATCGCAAACCTCATAAGTTAGTCCTACGAGTGGTGGTTTACCACTGGTAAATCACCGCTCGTACGTACATCACCTACGAGTACGTAGGTGATGTACCTACGAGTACATCACCATACGTACGTACTACGTAGGTACAGCCGCGAAATCTCGCGAAATCTCGCGAGAACGAGACCGAGAAAGAATAAGGCCGAGTCGTGCCCCTCATTATTCTCGAGAATTCTCATCTCGCCAAAATGACGGGGTATGCAAAAGACTCTTTGATTTTCGGGACGGTGGCACTGGGAATGCTAGTCGATGCCACGGAGGAGTCCTCATATATATCTGAGGTACTGAGGCTTTTCAGTACCTCACTGAGGCAACCTCAGGTACCCAAGGGATTCTCCGATATAGAATGCTTCCCCTCGCTATCTGCTGTTGATCGCACTGGAGCTCCCCATTGGAATGAGTTGCCCTCAAGAGTCTTGAGTCAATACGGTGTCTGACTCGAGTACGGTACGTGCATTTCAAACATGGTGTCGTGGATTATCCACGAATTCTCCTTGAGCTATGATATCCACGGTGGATATCAAAGCTTGAGGAGAGCCTCAATTACGGTATTCTGTTGGATGCCCCGAAATGTCACTTGGGAAATGGCTCGTTGCTGGCAGCAACTTGCTGCTTCGCAGCTCTCCGGCAGTACGTAGGTCTACGAGCTCTTAGACGCTGATATGAAGTTCGGGACTAGCAACTCCTCGGAGGTTAATCAATGCACAGATAGGACAAAGTTGATCGAGATCGCAGGAGCTTAGCTTATAGATAGAAAAACGTACACTCCGGATATTGAGGAATTGCATCCGCAGTTTCTCATCCTTGTTGATCGAATCCGCACTATCGATTGGCCGAAGGATAAACATGGCTCAAGTTATTCGAGTCAAGTATGGGAGATGCTCCACTGTCGTCCTCGTTACATTGGTTTATACAAGGTTTGGACTTCGACCGGCGCGAGGAGCGAAATTTTATTCTGAATTTTCATCACCCCATTTGTACTGCCTTTGTACGCTGTGCATCGCTTGAATGATCTTCTCACTATAGCTTTTCCTCGCGATGCTGAATACGTAGAGTGAAAGCAAGACAACGATTGCGCATGCGTGCAACAATGTTGCAGCAACATATACCTGATTCGCCTGCCGTCTTTGCCTACTTCGGTTGCGATAGCTCCGTCCTCCCCTCATCCCGCGCTCACATGTGGATCACACTAAGGCTTTACGCAGGTCACAGTGACCTGTGGGAAACCTCAGTGACCTGGTCACTGCATCAAGCTTATCAGAGGATCCTTCATCGTACACTATTCCCCTCCTGCGACTATGACATGGACCGCTCCGCAGCGGCGCTGGTATGCATAGACAACTCTTACGATAACTGGAACACGGGAGCACGCATAGTAAGTTAGTAGTACTAACTTAGCACGCATGGCCCCCCTCGGAGGATTACCAACGAATCATCGGTTTGTTGTATCGGCAGTAGCCCTATTATAACTAGTATCACCATCATATTCTTCTGATTAACACAGGTTACTCGTTATTTATCTAGAGATGATTTGTCCAGTTGGATAGCGTTATACTCCCAAGATCGACAAGTCGTAATTTCCGGTCGATGTGGAACAGCTCCACTGAAGTTATTTCCAGATCTTGAACTTTCTCATGCACTACCTCATTTCAATTAAGTTCGCGTGAAGCTGAGCGCCATTCACACGTGTAGTGAAGAACGAGTTTTACACTTCGCATTTCACGAACTCCGCAGGTTTTCGCGAAATCCCGCACACGTTTCACGCGAGATGGCGCTTTTCACTGGCGCTTCTTCGAGTAGTGTTACATCCATTTTCACTTTGCGTAATTCGTGTAGTACACAACAGCAACCTTTCGCTGCTCTCGAGTCAAAAGACATGATAGGTTGTTCATCTAACATCCATGCGTTTCGCCTCCCTGCTTCTCGCTGTTACCATCCTGGCTGCTTCTGGTTCCACCGACGGTGCTCCTCAAGATGGTTCCCCTATAGGCCGCAAGCTTAACAACTTCGGCGATGAGTGTGCTACATGCGCCAAAGGGCGTTGCCGCTGTGGTCATAGCGGCTGCTGGTGTGAATGATAGTATGATGATCTTCCTATCCGATGATCCTAGCGGATCGGATAGGACCTATCCCATCCTCATTATCATGTACCAAGGTGTGGTATGTTGTGCAGGTGGAACTTCAAGGGTTATAACTTATGTATGCCTCAACTTTTCGTCTCTTCTACTGATATCGCTGGATTCCGGTCATAGTAGGTTGAACGTCTGATGATACTTCCTATCTTAGAGATAGGAATATCATTATGCTTCCTCAACAATGCAAAGATCTACCGTGTATCGGAATTTATCGATCGGGTCGTAACAGAATCAACTAATGGTTCTTGCATTATTCAGTCGTTAGCTTTCTCTTTCGTAGTCTAGATTATCAAACTTGCTTGAGGATTCTGAGATCACTTCTATGACTTGATAAGTTTGTGAAACATCCGATATACAATTTTGATCTGTGGCGTTATGAAGTTCGTATTTGAAAAACTGGTTACGTTTCGAGTATTTTACTTCAGAGGTTCTTACTTGGATCTTAATTATCGGCATATTACATCACCATCTGTCCGATATGGATACTAGTCATAACGAAAAAGGCGATGTTGGGTTGCATTAGAGTCAATCGTAGTAAGTGTGAGTAATCTACTCACATCCTCCAAGGGGGGTTGACAGTCCAATCGACTGGCGCGAATGAGAAAAGTCATAGCGGCTCAAGGGTGAGCCAACCTGTGGGTGTATGAAATTGGGCACATTAATTGATATTGATCGACGCAGAATCTCCATGTACAACGTACGATCACAGCATGCTATATGACGATGCCTATCACGTGATGCTCCGAGCACCATGCTCGGCATCATGTTCAAACGTGACGGTTGAGATAAACCGCCCCGTCTCAACAAACCGTGTCCATCTAGAAATGAAAGTAAATTATAATGGTTAATAGCCGGGTGTACAGGTTTGTGATCACGGATAGAGGCAAACGAACACATAGAAAACCCTTATACACGTGGGATAGTAAGAGTACTTGTCAGTGACAAGTACTGGTACTCGTTCAAGGTTGGCCCGCTCAACCGTGACAAGTACAATGAGTAGTTAATCTCGTCTAGTAGAATAAGTCAGCGAATTGTTTCCGAATGTCTCGGGTTCAAATCTTTGTCGAGGTATATTCCGGAATTCATTTTTTGGAATTCTGTGAGTAGAATTCGAAAGTGCGTTGTTGGTGGCCGGACGCCACTGGCGGCCACCAGGTGGCCTCAGATTCGATCCCGGGGAACCCCATTTCTCACGTATTTTATTTGCCCAGTCTGGAATCCTTGCTGGAATCGATTTTAGAAATCGTGTCTACTGAACGCGAGTCGTAATTGATTCAGGAGGCGCTTCCGAGATCGATTTTCAACTTCCAAAATCGTGTTTACTGAACGCGACTTCCGGAATGATTCCAACAATCGATTCTGAGGATCGATTCCAGCATCGCACACAACGGCCAGTGCGAATCATCCACAACGAAGTTGATATAAAAATTGAAAAAAACATCAATTCATTCATATTCAAAAGTGTAGTGCTGCATAGAGTAGAGAAGAGCGGGTCCTAGCAGGCAGGTCCTCAGAAATGGTTGAAATCGAAAACCCGTATAGGCCTCTATCTTCGACGAGGCAAGTCTTCTCAAGGACTTGCTTCTGCGACTGATAAGTGTAGTCCTCGAAATGGCCGTTCGAGAAAGGAAGTGCGCCCTTAGCAATCAGTTCAGCATAAGTACGGGGAGGTTGAAATTTGCCAGGTGAGTATCCCATAGCCTCTACCTGAAATATAACACCGTAGTTGAACGCGGACGCCCCTATAAGATCAGTATCAGCAACGGCCGATTCCCGCCTAAAGTAGTCCATGGCTTACTGATAGTTCGATTTTTGATGCTGGTACCCCGAGCGTGAGCAGACGCTGAACGGCTTGGCGAGCGAAATCCGCATCAACCATGTTATTCGATAAAAGTGTCGGATGTCCGAAGTGAATCGAAACGGTATCGAACAAGCGTCCCAGCCTGGCTGCCTCTACGTACTTCCACAGGGGTGAGTCCAAGGGCTCCGCCCCGAAACTGAGACAAACTATATCGCTTCGTGGATCAACCTTACGGACCAGCCGTTGCCTCTACACAAGCACACTCAGAACGGCGATTCTAAGAGCAGAAACGATGGGCGATTTTACTCACCCGATCGACGCTCTGACAGGCTTCCCAGACCTGGTCTTGAGCTTACGGCTTATGATCCACCCAACTCTTTGCGCGATTTGCCAGAAGAACTGTTGACAGTTTCCTACCCAAACCCAGAACCTCACCTCCTCTACATTATATTGAGTGATATAAGACTGAATCTGAGATTCGAACGTAGCAAAGCTGAATATATCGGGGGAGCATTCATGATAAGGGTAGCTGTCTGTGCCCAACAAAAGGGCTGTACCAGTGCCGTATTTTCTGGCACAATCGGCAATTTCGTTGACCATTGTGACGTTGACGACCTCCGAGAAAACAGAACCATCGTTGACCAATGTGGTGCTCTCGAGGAGGAATTTACTAACACCCATGGAGAACATTTCACAAATAGTGTCGGTGGGAGCGAGCCACTCTTGACTGCTGATAGACACCTCCCTTCTAGCAGAAGATGGAAGGGAGACGAGGAGGAGGACGATAATAGGAGAGCTGGCTAGCATCTGAGAGATGTTTGCTCGAAACAATCACAATGGATGCTATCGTGAGGCAATTCGATTAACCCCTGCGTAGAACAACAATAGAGCAATGTTATGTTACTAGGTCTATTGGAGTGGACTGTTCGGGAGCACCTCTGCCACACAATTCAATCACGTGAATGGTTATCACATATCGCGTGACACACAATTAGGGGTTAACAGTATTCAAGGACAGTCTCGTGAATCGCAGGGTCACAGACTGCGATTTTGTCCGAAATCTGGGGAGAACTATCTTCTACGCGTGGTTAATGGAGTTGGATTCCAACATCGCAGTGCCACCGAACGAAGTGGTTTATGCCATAAACTTCATGGTTCACGACGTGAACTTCGCGTGTACTGATGATGAGCTGATGAATTGTGGTAGGAGGATCTGACCGCTCCTGCTGGAAAGTCCGTTAGCTCAGCTAACAATCGATACAATGCAGCTATTTTTGCTGCATTGTATCGATTGTTTGCTATATGTAAATCGACTCCATCCGGCCATCGTCAGCTATCTTTTGCTGTTGTCCGACTGTGCGGCTCTGCCTGTGCGAAATAGACAGTATGGGCGGCGCGAGAGCCTCAACTGTAGCTTTTGTGTGCGTGCGTCAAAGGATCGATTGCATTTAGAGTCTTTCGAGGGACTCTTTTTGAGCATTACTGTTTGCACCCCTGCCAACCTTGTCGACCGCAGCTAAGTATTATCTCACACCCGTATCTACCTTTGGGATTGTGTTGCCAGAGTCACTAGCACCGACTGCCTATACAACTTTTCAAGGCCTACTTGGAGACTAGTAACTTCTATTTGGAGGGGTGGGCGAAATGAAACTGAAGATTCTCGTTTGATAACTGCGAAGCACAGTTCATCGCAGTCCCACCCACTTGTCGAGCTCGACAAGCCAGCCCTTGGGCCATGGAATGAGCTGTGATACCGCAAGGTCCCGATGGAGAGTGGAGCCATGATCTCTGCCATCAGCAGATCCACAATCATCCAACTCACCAAGGGACCTGCCTCACCCAACAAGGGAACCAGATCATCACTGGCATGATGAGAGCCCAGTAATACACTACAGCTGAGATGAGGAACTCTTGGACGATGTAAATCTGTTTCTACTTTCTGCCAACACGGGAGAGCCATTGAGTTGAATCAACCTGTCTTCTACTGCTATCCGTCAGTTCTGCCAATCGGCGCTGCCGACTTTGCGATTCCGCCTCGCAATACACAACGTACGTTCCTCATGCCACTTTACGTGGCTAAGGCCTGCGTGCCCAACCTTTTCTCAGCCTGATGGTTCACCAGGCTTCCTTGCCCCCGGTGAACGCATGAGACGATATTACTGAGCGAAGCATGAACCGCGTTGTGATTCTTCCGAGTGAGGAAAATAGCTGAAAAAGCGTAACCGTTGTACTCATCCGCTACAACAGTCTAAGTTTCTATAGCTCATCCGCATCTCTCATACGGCCCATGTATCGAACCTTCCTACCGCGGGAGATCGAGCGTGTTGAACATCGGTAAATCCAGCTACATGACGAGTAGATGACCAGTTGAAACTTTCAACTTTAGAGTGTCTTCCCGAGTTTTGTCAACCTGACTTGGTTGACGGAAATTGGTCAAACCAACTCACTGAAATTCCAATAGAAACGTTCGAGCCAGTAATAGTTTCAAATGAATCATAAATCCAACACCGACACAACGGCAGTCACACGAGCCAACCATCATCTCGATTCTCAATTTTATGCTGTTTGATCAATATATATGTCTTTAGCACTTCGGTAAGTCTGGAAGCTGAATCCAAATCAGCATTCTTGCACGGCCTCAAATCCAACTCCATCCCCGACTCGTAAGGTTCGCTGTCAGTTGCCCCACGACGAGAGAAATTTTTATACACCTACACAAGAGCAAAAACCTGTCGACTCTTCCCATCATTCGAAATTATAGTCTCCATTGACAACCGATTCCCAAATTTCGAATATCAACGAGTCATTGCTGCACCCAGTAGAGTGAGATTATGGCATTCCTAGACGATGATCCTCCAGAACGAACACGCCCCAGAAGTGAGGCCCCAAGGCGTAGGAGCCCCCACACCGCAAGCTTGTACATAATAATAAATATTTTCAATATTTTCAGAGAATGACTTACTTGATAATTCTCGTCTGACTCGCCAACCGCGTGGTAATTATCGATTCGACAATCCACGACGTTCTCCAAGAACAAGTTCATGACAAATATCGCCACGTGCTTGCTGACTGCGGCATCATACAGAGTCGCCTTCCGAGCTCCGATGTCGAATTGAAGCACGACCCTCCCGAAAACTCGCAGTTCGAATCCTTTATCGTAATTCTTTGGGATGCACTCGATATTTTTCAGCACCTTCAACCAATACCCCGTTCTTCTGGCCATATCCTAACAACGACCATAATCGATCAGGCGATCGATTATAGCAAGGCTGCTCACCTCGGGATACAACTTGTCTCTATATTCGAGATGGAAGTCCTTATCCATCGCTGGTCGAATCTGGAACAGACTATAATGCTGAAGCCGTGTGAATCAAAGACGACGCAGTTGTTTACAATCATTCACTTCATCATATATACTCAATCGATTATCCGATCGATTTGAAAAGATCAGCATTGCATTCATCGACTTCTAGTTTTTCTCCGGACTCCTAAATGAGGATTCACGATAAATCCGAGGAAAGCCGAGCATGAAAAGTTCAAAAACCAGCAGAATTGTTGGTTTGATATAAGCCAGCAGTTATTGCGTGTCGCAATACTTCCCCAAAAAGTCCAAGCGAACTCTAGCATCCTCGAGAGCCCACCTTAGCTGGATAGTTCATACCCTGAAAAGTCATTTTATTCTTGGTTGCCGCGACACATCGTTCACACTCATCGCGATTGGCGTATCTTATCCACCCATATCCAGCTCCATACCCTCGATGACCCCATTTTCTCTTCACCTAATAATACACCACCCTCCACAATTATGAGTAATGATTTGATTCTATCACAGCCAATCAGAGCCGAAGGAGCCAATAGGAACAATACACAAGGATAATGTCATGTCTTCGGTTTTATATGCTGATGTAACGAATCAATCGTACTGTCCTTACCTTAGCCTCCTGCACTTCGCCGAATTTCGAGAATGCTTCCTTCAGGTCGTCTTCGCTGTAGCTACGCGGAAAGCCGTATACGAATAGTATCGTCGCCATGTCGATCAAATGGTCATCCTGAAGATCGAAAGAGTTGCGCAGCGCTCCCGAGCAAATTGTCGGTTGCCATTCTCGTCACTCCTGACGCCGAGTAGCGAAACGATGAGGAAAGTGCCATTTCCTTGCGAAATTCACTCGAAATCGAAACCAAAATTTGACGCATTCGAGTGTCACTGTGATAATGACCATATTATACCAGTGACATTCGAACTGAGAGAAATGATCTGAATCATTCCAAAAATATTCAGCCAACAACTGTGCCAGCTCTTCGTGCGATCAGTTTACCAATAATCACCCTATGCAATAGGTCTACTCTCAACCACATCACCATCAAGACTAAGTTGCGTACACCGGGCCTATGAGAAGGCTTGCATAGATTATCGAGAATGTCAAACCACGAGTCAGCAGTCGTAGCTCTTCAAATTAGGTATGTTAATACATCACGGCGAAATTGTACTCTGCGGCCCACTGTACTATACGCATGCACATCAGGCTTCAATTCCCCAGCGATAAGCTCACCTTGTGAGGGCCCGGGAGTTCGTATGACTTGAACGACGGCCGAGGCGCTGACAAAAGCTACACTCACGCGACGCACAGTGGAGGATTTACACTCACCTTCCCCATACTGCTTGAAACCATACCACTCCCCGGTGAATCTCCGCCAGTCAGGATGGTACTCTACCCTATTCCAATCCACAACGCCCTTAGAGCGAGTCTCCTCCTTTTTCCACTCCTGTCCCCATCCTTTCTGATGGTTCCTCCACTTCCCTTCTCCTTCATACGACTTGTTATAGTCATCCCATTGCCACGCACCGTCACTCTTTTTCCAATCTGTCCAGTGCCCATAGTAATCGCCTCCACCGTCTTCATGTCGGCCACTATGAGGGGCCTCAGGGGTAACAACGTGTTGTTGTTGTTGAGAAGACCGACGACTTTCCCTGCTATCGGGTGTATCGTTTTTCTTCCGGGGCTGTCGGTCAAATACGAGCCACTGAGTCCCTCCACTCTGCAAGATTGAAAATAAGATAGCAACAATCTATGCACCACAAAATTTCACAGAAAATAAAAGAGAGAAATTCATAGACGCGTTGTGATGAATTATGACGGCGTTTCTCAAAGCCATGATATATTCACAAACTGACCACGTCGACTTTTTCACTCCCATTCGCCGGATCCATCAGCATCGTCGCTCCCAATCCACCAGAACGAGTTAATTGCTATAACGAATATACCTTTTCCCCCTCCACTCACTTTGGGATCATCAGATGGTCGGATGAATGTCAGTGTGTCAAAGTTGGAGTTGAAGCATCCTGAAAGACAACAATGCTCCCACATAAATTAACATCATTGCAGAAAACAGCCAATTTCAAGAGAGAGGTCTTCAGATAAGGACATCCCCCGCACGTCGGAGCCAACGAGGGAAAAACGATTATTGTACTGCGCATACCAGAGAAGACAGCAGAAAAAGGAAAAATTTTTTAAAATTTTCCGGGAAAAATAATTGACTTTACCTTCAGTGAGCTGCCATAGTACACCCTTCTCCTTCACAGCAGGTCGGAGATCCTCCAATGACACCAAGTCCGTATAGAAGTAGTTATTCATGTGCCGAGACTCAGGCCTGAGGGCGCATATCTTAGGTTCAACCACGATAGATACAAAACAGGTCCGATGGCGAACCAACATAATAAAACTACTCTTTCAGTATCAAGTAGCCAACATTCGCTGGGCTATCCTCTATTTGAACCGCCATAAATCTTCCTCTATCGTCTGCTAATGCATCCACCTGACAGGATTCCCATCCTCATTCGCCGTGACAGTCTCGACTACTGCGTGTCACACAGTAACAAGCTACTGTCAGCCACACTCGGTGAAGTAACGTTGCGATGGGCCCGTTAGAAATAGAATAGATATATAATATATATGAAAGTATTAATATGGTCACAAATACATCATTACTGATGATGTATTTAATCATACAGTTTTTCTACGAGTAGCGATATGGAATTGTGAATACCACTACTAGTAGCCTATCATGTACATATATAACACAAATAGATTCATATTACAGCATAATATGAACTTACTATAGTATAGCATAGTCTATGCTGCACAGAGAGCGACAGTTCAAACCGTTATATGCTCCTAACAAGGATCCATAACCTCACAATGTCAGAATACTTCTGAGCCTATCACTATCCAGGACGAGCGAAGTAATACCATTCCCGAACGAACTTAACCCACATTGAACCAGGCGGAATCATCAGGCGACCAACTCACCGGTTTGAAGCGGTACTTGATGACAGTAGTGGCGTTCCCTCGCATATACCACAAACCGTCCAACTTGGCAATCCACTTGAATACGCCCGATACCCATTCCTTCTTTATTCCACCAAGTGCATCCCCACGAGGGTCCACCGTCGCCGCCGCTTTCCCTGGTGTGGCCGTGAGAAGGTCCTCGAGGGAGACAGAGGAGGTTGGGGCCTGCGGAGTGGGCGGTTTGGTCTTCCCCAAATTGCCCAATATTTCGCTCGGTTTAACCGTATCTGTCACGGGAATATCAATAACGAGCCAATTCGATGAATTCTGATTTGAGATGATCGCGTAGTTCTACAGTGCATGCCATTTTGATACTATGCAAATGTCAAAAATGTGCGTTTTCTATTCCGGGATTAATGATAGTGAACAACTTGTCGCTATCATAGTCTCGAAAGGTCACTTTTATCACATCACATGTTCATAGCAATGTTCACATTGTTTATACGATATAGTTTCAGATCGATTCTTATCCATCTCGGAAAATACCACGAATTTCCTAAATTTGCATATCGGATCGACACATATTTAGATTATCAGAGACTAAGATCAAAATAAAATTTCCAAAAAAGATATTTTCGTTTATATTCCTGTACAACTTCACCTTCAGAGCTAGAGAGTGACCAGCAACCGAATATCAAAACTCATACCACTCCTCGCCGAACTCCCACTTACTCTGATTATAGCTCGGCAGGACCCCATTCGGCTGCCCAAAACGTATCTCATCCGCCCACTGTGGGCGTCCCCGCTGTCCTGCCTTCCCTCCCTCCTGCCTTGCACCGGGAGAACACTGCGAAGGTAACGACTTCTCCGCATAGCGGTTCCACTCGCTTCCTGGACTATTCCAATACTCTCGGCTTCCTCTCGAATTGTCTTTCCCTTCTCTATTCCAATCATTTCTGGACCGCACAGAACTGCCCGTCCTATTACTACTACTACAACTACCCTCCTCTCTGGCGTACCAACTACTACCCGAGCCGTACGAACATGTGCGACTTGATCCATCCGAATACTCAGAATTCCGATCATCATCATCATCACCGTCATCAGAAGAACGCGAATCAACCCGACTACCATCAGAGCGTTCACTCGCTCTTCTCCGGAATCCGCCGCCGTCGCCACCACGATTTTCTCCAGAGCTCCAACTGCTCCTCCTACGACTATCATAACTACTCCCTCGCCTCCTTCTACCACCTCCCGAGCTCCTTCCCTCTGAGCGATCCTCTCTACTTCTTCGCCTCCCAAATTCTTCCCTGTGCGCAGCAGAATATCTTTCGCCATATGATCTCCTCCCACTCCCACAAGCCGACCTGCTGCTCAACTCACTACTGGAACCCTCCCCACCTTCAGAAGCAAAATCGTCGCTTTCGCATCTCCTTCTGGAACTTCCTCCCGGCAAGTCTTCGAGCACCTCCCCCGCCTCCCTTTCCCAACTAATGCCACCTCGACCCTCAAGATACTCCTCAGCCGCAGACGACGAATTCCCCCACGGCAATGCCGTCCATTGATCAGCAGGCTGGACTGTCCAAGACCTACCTCCTTCCCTCTCCAGCCCTGTGGAGTTGAACTCACTGAGCATCGCTTTCTTGTCGTACGGCACGTATTCATACTCGACCTGTGGGGAGCTCACCGGCTCCACAACGCGCGGCAAAGGAGACTCCACTGGTGCACTATCCAAAACTCTCCTACTGCTCATCTGAGGCGCCTCTGAATCTTCACCACCGCCGTCCATGTCGTTCACCTGTTCCTCATTTCTCATCTTGACCACCTGATCGTAATACCCTGGATAGGCGTTATACCCATTCCTCGGTAGAGTCGACCGCGGCCGAGAGCTCAGAGGGGCAATTTCCCGGCCCATCGATGGGACTGCGTACTGCACCGGAGGCTTTCTCGGTAACTTCCCATATACTGTTCCCCTGCCTCTCTCGTAAGCTCGACGCCCTGGGCTTTCCTGATCTTCCTCAAAATTCCCTTTCAAAGTGGTCGGCGGATCGCCACTTGGAAACAACCGAGGCGCACTCGATGGCTTCAGCGGCAGTGAACTTTCGGTCGCCTGTCGAGACTTTAAAAACTCCGCAAACTGCGGGAGGTTCCTCTCAATATCATCACCATTCGGGTCCAATTCGACTTCCATTTCCATCACCGTCTCAGATGGCATCTCGCTGGGCCTCACTACTCTCAGCTGTCCTCCAGCAGAGCGATGTCGAGGCGGTCGGGAAGGAGGCGGTGGTCGCGTTGAGGCGCTCTTCGCCGCGACGTTCCCCGACGGTGTGCTCAACAACACCGGTCTTACAGTCGATGGATTGGCTGGCGGAACTGGACGCCCTGGAGGCCGGGGAGGAGAGGGTAGAGCGGACGTATCTACGATGATCACAAAAGATAAAAATACGAAACAGGTCCAGTTGAGGCCTATGCAAAAAAATCGATGCTGCTATCGATCGAACATGACCGTTCCACTTCGGTTTAGTATACCCTATCACTATATCTAAGCCTTGCTGGAGTTTCAGCATTCAACGCTACCCAGTCAGCATGAAACAGTAAATTTTCAAATTTATCGTTTCTGAGCCGGCATTCATCGCCAAGGCACAGCAGCAGCGAAAACTGATTCCACGGAAATATGTGTTCCCACGCCCTCCCTTGGAGGAAAACCACAGCAGCGAGAAGCACCAAGAAAGTTGACAATTTCATATACTCACTATTCGAAACCCCTCGACTGGGCGCCAACTTCCGAGCGACATCAGCCGTATTCACCACCAAGTCGCTGTCATCAGAGAGATCTTCCGCCTGAGAAAATCCACCCTATACGATTGGGAACTCCTCCGACCCCATCAAAGAGGCGACCGACCCCCACCAGTACACATCCACAGACGTTCACGTGGAAAAGCAAAGTTGATAGCAAAATCTCTCGTCTGCTAGAGAGACGGCGATTGACAATCCCCATTCTAGGAGTTCATAACATACTATCACAAGAATCCTTACTGCGACGGGAACCCCCCCCCCACTGAACTGGGAGGCTGTCCTTACCTGGGTGCTGTCCATCCCTCCCTGCCGCTCCATTGGAGCATCCTGTAGCGGCATGATGAAAGTTGAATAACAACAACTACCGTCAACTGAACGTCTATCAAACTGAAAACTATTCTAATCTACCACTCAACGAAGACTATGCAATCCAACGGCTCCGTCTACAGGGAGGAGGGGGAAAAGCAGTACACCGACTGACCGTCACCATGATTACTTCCCATCCCGTAAAATCCTCTCGAATATTGAACTAACCCGACCACGTTTCCATAAGTCCAGAAACAGTCCTCTTTCACGTAGTGCTCCCATCCTCCTCCTCCTCATCATCATCGATAACCTGCCGTCGCCGCCACACCCCGCCATCTCCAGCAGAGGGTAGTTCAACAACACCAGGCGGTGGTACTTTTCTATTCACTTCAACTCTTGCAATCTTGTTCTCTTCCTCAACACTATCAATATCGACCCCCCTCAACTGCTGCACTTTCCACGCCAACAGCCGTGCCCGTTCCGCGTCCACCGGTGTAGGCTCCTCAGGAGCCACCGAATCTTTCGCTTGCCACACAGCTGGTGCCTTCAGAGCTTTCTCTTCCTTGGTTTCCTTCTTGGGGAAGAATTTGAGAAGCAAGTACGGGGGAATCCAAACCAGCAGAGGCAGCAGGATGTAGTACGACTGACAGCATTGGAGAAATACGTGTTCGCTTTCCTCAACTGAGTTTCTTCACTAACTATAGAAATTTATATACGAATTCGGATAGAAGTATCCACAACCAAATAAAAATTTCCCAAAATTTTCTCATATTTTTCACCAACCCATGTAGTTGACCATGTGCATATTTTCCCACACACACAACCGAATATACGAAACTAGGGTGAAATAAAAGATTCAAAACATGTTCAATACGTTACAACAATACCGCAGTGTTGGAGGAATATATATTTGCTCTTCTCAGCTCAGCTCAAGAGATTCCTCACTAATTGTGCAAGTTCACATGCAATCTCGACTATAACTTTCCCAAATTCCCTCGCAATTTCACATTGTCACCAACACACGTAGTCGCATATTTTCCTACACTGCAATGCAGTAAATGCAACTGCAGGTGCTTACATAAACCCAATCAACCCTCGGAGGTTTCCTCAAGTCATATTCGTATTGCTTCATCTGCCCCTTGAAACTAGTCCTCATTTGCCTCGCCAACAGCCCCTTCACACGCTCCGTATGAGCCTGATGACCTCAATAACGAGAATACTAACAAGTGCTATCTAGAAACTCCTCCCAGCAGCCCGCTCAGCCCACTGCGATCCGACTCCGGCGTAAAACAATTCGCGAAATCCGATCAGCATATTCAGAGAGCTTACTCACGCTAGGCCTCACATGTGGCAAACACTTTAATGAAGTGTCACAACCCGTTTTACGTGAAGTGGCGTAAAACTCGGTGAAAAACACGATATTCGCTGTGATATTCAATAGTCGTGAAATATGTTTTTCACCAGTGTTTTTCATATCACTAGGGTGAAATGTATAGAAATGAACATACCTCTACCAAATATAACGATATTAATACCCTATGAAGAATACAATATTACAAATAAAATTCTAATGCTAGCATATGAAATAAAGATATAGAAATAAAGCATATATAGCATAAAATATAGCATATAGAAATAAAGATAATTTTGTACAATATCTCCCTAAATTAATCATCGACGGTCAACTATCCAGCTAGCAAGCCTCAGCAAACTTGAATGAGAGCCGAATTGAAGCATGTCATTCGCAACCCGACCAATGCTGCCTACCTCTCCACAAACAAGTCCAATCCGCAGAGAGTCGCTGAGAGGTGGGTCCGGTAGCCGCTGCAAATCGGTCAATAAATCCTCTATCCCGCATGGCCCGCCCAAGTCACATTCTAACCCTTCTTGGTCATCGTTTCGATTTTCCTCTTTTTCCATCAGAATTTTCCGTCGAGCTTCCGCCTCTTCACGCAGTTTTTTCGCCTGCGCTAAAGGATCCATCTGCCCGGGGAAAAGCGGGATATGCGTTCCCTCCACGTCTGGCGGCAATGCTTCAATTTTCTCGCTGTTGTTCGCCTTCTTCTTCCCCCGTAAAACCTCAGCATCCTCGCAAGCAGCGTTCCGAGCGGACATCCATCGAGAACGCATAGAATCCAAATGGGCCCGCTGCGCGAAAATTCGCTCCCGCTCTGTGTACCTGATCTGAACTATGACATTCACAAACAAATCTCAACAGGGCCACTCTTGAGCACATTGAATATCAATATACTATATCTGCAATTGTGCACTCATAGGGTTTTAACCATAATTGCAATACGAGTCGAATTCATGTGGCACGGCAGAAAACAATGATGTTATTCTCCGAGATTGATAAGAATCAATCTGCATATATGTATCACATAAACAATGTAAACATTGCCATCATGAGAATATGTGATAAAAGTAACCTTTCGAGATCGTGATAGCGACAATAGAATGCGCCCATTCTCCACATTCACATATTGAATTGGCACGCACTGTAAACTAGGCACCACCATCCTTATTACAGAGTATGCCAAGCCGATGGGCACTTCTTCTCCATCTGAGCTGGGTTCCGCTTCCCAGAAAATCCTCCAACTTGAATGAGCTGCCATGGGAAAACCAAATGCCGCCATTGCATCCTCCGCTCCGTCGCAATACGCAGACGATCGATCGGGACCAGACGGACATCTGCCGCAAATGAAAATTCGAAGCTCTCTCTCGCACCCCATAGACTTACTGGGCAAAGCCTCTCGAAGTTGAAAACCGATCGCCTCCAGCCGGTCGCTAGAGTCCAAAAAAGTCGGCTCTCGATCAGGTCTCGATCGCCACCCATCGAAATCTGACCAGCATTTCCAAAATGATTCTAGTAGTCCAATATCAGACGATCTCATACACCAAACGATAGATCTTGATTCAGAAATTCCTCACCGGACGAAAATACGAACTCAATATCGCGCTCTATTCACCCCTGAGGAAAAAAGGTCCTCGTCACTCAGAAACTAAATCGTCGAAGTTCAAGCGAGACGAATTTCTCTAGTCCGAGTCCTCATTACCTTCTGCCGTTAACCTGAACGACTTCGAATCCGCCTCCAAGTACACAACCTGTGGCCTGAAGACCTTCAACACCTCCAATGCGGCATCAGATGTCTTCCGATTGCCGTGAACAACTCCGACCACCCGTCCGAGTGCCCGACGGCCCTTCGGAGGCATTATCAGGAGAGCTCCAAAAACAACCCGCCTACCGTAACTCCTCCAACTTCCAACATTCGCTACCATCAACGCCTCCTCAACTCCACAACTCAGCGACCAAAAACCCGTCTATTGACTTCCCTATACAGCGCAACACAGTAGCATACATCATCATCATCATCATCATCATCATCATCTGCGTTATTACGATGATATACATACGTTACGTTGATCGTCATCGTCGTCGTCGAATAGGGGTAGTAATAGTCACACATTGCATAATAGAATATAGAATAGCGGTAAACCTTAATGACCGTCAACTTCGGTCGTTGCGGTGCAAATGTCTTCTCGTACGGAAACTTTTACCATCCCATCAAGTTGCGAACCATATCACGTTCGGCTTTCAACTCTTGAATGTTACGCTGGAGCATCGAATACCCGAACCTGAAAATCCTCTATCGAAAAACAGCACAAGCAGGCATCAATTTTACTCGGTCATTTCCAGGCCGCCAACCTTGGTCCAACTCTCACCATCGGTGATGACGGGGAAGGAGAAACACAGATCAGTATCAACACCATACCTACATGCGGCAAGCTGTATAGCAACAGGCAGTAAACTGGGCATTGACACATTTCCAAGAGAAAGAAAACCGACAGGAAAAAAGTGAGCTCCCTCGCTAGAGCACGATCTCAGACTAACATCGAGGTGATTCGACTGCACAATGGCTTAAGTGATAAATTAGCGACTTACGAGTCAATCGCATAGCTCTCCTTATTCTTCCCAATGACAGCCATAGACACCCACTTATTGTCGGACCCCAATGCCCAGTCGCGCATTTGGTCGACACACGACATAGCCGCCGATGGAGCAGAGGACTTGCCTGAACAGACGCATCACATACTCGAGGAAACACACTGTACAGACAACCTACCAGCAGCTTCGATGATCTCCTTTCCTCTTTGCTGAACACGAGTCATGAACTCATTCTTGATCCAGTCAGGGTGAGGGACAAGATCCTTAATCTAGAAAAAAAACCAGATAGCATCATCGTGAGTTCGCCATCACAAATTGTTGTTGTTAATGATGATCAGATGATATCTGCTAAACTCCTAAAATCAGACGATGTTCAACTCACTCCGTGTTATTATTTGAGGTTCACCCGTGACATGAAAAACACTAGTGAAAAAGATATCTCACATTCCACTTTGCCGAAACCAATTCTATATCGATCGCGGAAAATATGTCCTATAATTTGCAGCGAGTATTACACCACTTCCAGTGAAACGAGTGAAGCTCCGTCATTATTCTAATCCAGCTATAATGGGATTGCCGAGACAAACTCGAAGCTCACCTTCCTCCCTCTGACGGTAGCATGGTTGACATCGGGATACATATTTGGGGAGTGATTACCCCAAATGACGAAGTTGTCAATATGAGTCGGATGAACGTCCAGTCCCTCATGATGACCATTGATGCAATGAGCGAGTTGGACCAGACCTCTGTTGTGATCAAGGCGAGTCATCGCTGTGAAGTTCTCAGCCGGGACGTGCCTGAAACACACACGTACACCAGGGGCCTCGCACCCAGCGTTAAATGGATCAATAACGACTCAGAGAACTCCAAAGCCTTCTTTAATCTATCGAATGCCATCTCTACATACGACTATGGGAAGATATGTGAAACGGTGAGAGATCACAGCAATTCGCAAGCCGATACGACCGTGAATTTGCTGCTGAAAACTTACTTGGAATTGGAGGCAGCAATGAGAGCGTTCGTGTTGGCAGGATTGCCGACCACCACAACCTTGCAATTCCTATTAGCAACTTCACCAAGAATCGAACCCTCCTGTTTGAATAGAGCTCCTGATACTTGCAACAGGTCCGATCGCTCCATACCTACTATGAACATATCGACCATACACCAACGATGGTTCCCCCACGTACCGGCCTGTCGTGGCGGCGAGCCGACCAAACAGGCGTAGTCAGCATCGCCAAAAGCCTCCTCGTAATTATCAGTAGCGACCACCTTAGCGAGAAGTGGAGCGCAGGTATCTTCCAATTCGAGCACCAGACCACGCAGAGCTTCGCGGTCTCTAGAATATAGGTGGAGGATTACAGGCTGATTCACACCTAAAACATATCATACTACGCACAGCGAAGATTCTCCCATCGCTACTACCAAGCATATCGCCCATAGCAATCCTGAATGCCAAATTGGTGCCGACGGAACCTCGAGCTCCCGTAATGGCGACCCTGGCTGGCGGAAAAGTCCGGAACTTCATTTTGTGGAAGCCGGCAGCAGCAGCAGCAACTGTTTGAAGTCTGGGCATGCAGCGTGTAAGCATGCTGGGAGTAGTGGTGAAATGATAAGGTGGAAAAGTTTGAACTACATTGATATGCATAACCGCTCACCAGCCCAGTCAGGCCAGAGCTGAGCGACACCTGACTGTAGACATTTGTACGCAGCTGTTGAGTCCTCCCCGTCGTGTAAACACCCTTAGAGAGGAACAGACCCTGTTGCTCTACGCGACATTTCACAAGCATCCAAGCGTCACAGGTGAACAGCGTTGCACTGTGAACATTTTTATAGACCTGCAGAGTTCCGCAGGTACAGTAGGGCTGGTCAGCGCGGAAATTCACAGAATGAGAGCCACCAACACAACCTACAACCCATGCCACGCTGCATTTCGAGGAACGTCAATACATTCAGCTTACACACATCAAGATTCGACACCTAATAAATTCTTCCAAGGAAATGCACAAAAATGTGCCGAACCTACGTTGACCCAAGAGAGCAAGATTCCAAGCGCCTACGTGGTCGAGCAACACCACAAGTGATTTTGAAGAAACTCGACTGAACAGAATATGAATACAATTGGCTTCAATCTCTCTTGTTCACAGTAGTGCTTCCCTCCATCAACTTAAGTAACTCATCAGTCATCTCATTAGGCGCGGTGAGGACCATATCGTGTGGCTGGTGGGGGGACGATCTTATAAGACAACAACTTCATAGATCCCGTCAGAGTGTCTAGGAACTCCGCAACCTTCGGTGTGTTCACAGTTCCGTCATCACCCGCCAACAGTACACGTACAGGGCATTTCACCTGAGCAGAATTCCATAAAAATCTCCAATCACGCCGATCTAAGATGCCAGAAAATTATAATGTTCATTTAGAGTTTTCCACGTATGGCTAGGAGCACATTCTTCAATCAGTTTCCCATGTAAATGTCATCATATCAGGATCATTGCCCCCGTTGTTATCAAACCCTGGAAGTCGCTTTCTCTCAAAGCTAAATCGGTTCCTGCTCCCCATCACTCCGAATGATAATGAACGTGGAACAAGTATGACTCCCGAACTTACTTCCGGGAGGAATCGTACAAGTCCGTCACGGAGAGGGAAATCTATAAGAGTGCGAGTGTAGGCTCGGAAGAATGCTGGATTGTACATCCAGTCGATCATGGTATTCTCATGGATCTTGGGGTACTTCTCAGGGTCGAAGAATAACTCATAACTGATGACCTCAGCCAGAGTGCCGAGGATGTCGCAGTACGGCGACTTCACTCGTTTTATAATAGGAATAAACCACTCCTGCAGTTTTCCAAGGCCACAGCCCGCAGGACAAATCGTGAGCACACCTGAACGCAGACGGCCTCCTCAAGACCAACAAGAAAAATCCGTGTTTACCATTGATCCGGTCAGGATTCGTAGCTGCGCAATGCACCACTACACACCCACCGAACGACATTCCCAGCAGATACACGGGACGGTCGGCAGGCACCAAGTTCTCAACCACCGCCATAATCTGCTTAGAGAAACGCGAAGCATCGTAACGCCCTAAAACGACATGAATTCTCTCGCGCGTGGTATTCGATTAGACCCAGCCTCACCTCCCTGAGGACAATCAGAGAACCCCCGACCCCATAGGTCAATCAGAAGTAGTTGATATCCTTCATTCTGCAATCTATTGAGTATCTCATCTCGTGGGAAGAAAGTTCCATCACTTCCAACACCAGCAATCAAAACCACAGCTCCTTTACAATCGACCAGATCCGGTTCTATCTCATAGACCTATGAAAAATCAATGCCTTCACACATGAGCATCTGATACAGATCTTGAGGAGCGCAAATATCTAAGACAACTTCCCAGCGCGATTCAATGGTCAGAGAATACGACGCGAGTTCAATCCCTCGTACATGCGTTTTATATCCATCAACATCAACATACTTCCCTTCCCTCTTGGTCGACGGACGCCAATCACCTCCGCGTTCTAAGTTCTTCTCCATCTTGTACCTGCCCTCACGAGCTGTCTCCAAGTCCTTCAGTCTACGTCTCGAGAAGCCTCTTCGAGCACCGAGTGAATCAATAACGCTGCGTTATTGTCGCGTTAGTGTTCTGATACCAACGCATCAGAGCACCACAGCATTCAAGTCGACTCGACGTAAATTCCATCAACCCTATTACTTAGGATAAACCACATCCACAGGAATCCAATGAATCCAACAAACATAGCGAGCCACTCTAGGTAGGAGACCAGCGAAATACAGAATTATCGGTGCTACTATCCAGCCGTAGATAACACTATTCATATTAGCTAAAATACAATTCTGAAAAGTATAACCTATAATCTACCATGAGTATAGAGTAGAGTACAAGTCTAGAGTATTATCTACCAATATAATGTAAAATATACCATTTCGTGTATGTTCTCTTCCCGCCAAAATATTTCTGAAGAGCGAACAGGGACAGCAAACAAAATCCATATAAAGATCCGCCCGCCCAACCTGAACAAATCATTGACTCCAAGTTGCGATATTCGCCAACCTGACTAACCGATTTGTCCCAAAATGACCTCAGAGCAAATTCCCCCATCACTCCACCGAAACAACAAGTCTCTGACAGCACAGAAAAGAGGCTACCAATTAAACGGCAATTCCGTTGCCTAGAAGACAACATAAGATGCAATAAATCAAAGAATTCCCACAACCACAACAAATCTCTTGTAGCTACCATAATCTCATCATCCTCACAACACATCACGTCTAAGCATCACCACACAACAACTGATACGTTCGTCGAACGGTGCTGAGTCGAACAGACCCAATTCTACCACTCTATGGGAGATGCTCAGCAACCTGAAAGTTACGTACCAGCCTGATCCACACGTCCTCGTATGCTACCGGATATCCCTCCTCGTACTAGCAGAATAATCACCAATGTACATTATACATGGTATTGTACTTAGAAAGTCTCTAACATCATCTGACATGCCATTCAGCTCAACGCCAACAACGACCTGAAACCACGTCCATGACCGACCCCACACCGAAGGCTGTCGCCTACCATGTCATAACTGTGTTCCTTAAGAGAACTGATTCGGTTGGAAAGACATCCACGAACAACTTTCGCCTTGCCCTCCAGCGAATTAAGTTTTAATTTTCCCCACGCTGCCGCAGCCTTACCCTTATGACCATCAACCACACATGTAGATTCTGAAAGATGAAGACCAACTCCTATCCATCAGGGCTCAAGAAACAGCGTCGAATTTCGGAATCGTGGCAGAAGTCCAAATCCCCCACGACCACCCAATTCACTGAGTCATTCATAAGACTATAAGCGTGCAATTTACGCTAAGGAGCTGTTATCCGAGGGCAACAGAAAGATGAACCCACTTCAAGTCATCTCTCGACCATGAAGACCCGATCGGATATGTCTTATAGCGCAATGAACGAGCAACAGGGCTAATTCTCAAGCCAAGCCGCCAGAGATTGCGCATCAATCATCCCACATGAACATGCATGAGCCCACCGTCAAAGAGCTTCCCAACAGCGATAGTGTACAAGGCCAATCCAGAGGGCACTTCGAGTAGCTGGCGTCGACCACTGGCTGGGATTCGAGACATAACTTTCATAGCGGTCCGAACCTAGGAGCAAATCAAAACACCACTTCCTCTACTGCACGACAACCCACCATCCAATTAAGCTTCGCCGCCTCGGCTACAGGATTGGTGAGACCACCATAGCACTCCTTGAACCTCAAGGACACGCTTGATGGAAGACATGGGAGAGTGAAGTATTCGATAACGGATGCCTCACTGATCTGAAGTCAATTCTCGCTCGCCCAGGAATCTTTTGGAACCGCCAAGGATACGCCAAGATACCACTCACCTTCTTCGCATCTCGCGAATTCTTTCCACACTTGTTGTGCGTCCCATCTACAGTCAGACGCAAGGTATCGTCAGAGCAACGTACCGTTGACGTCGTCGACGCTTTGCTGCTTCCCCCACCAGTGGCGATGACATCGACAACTACTCGCCTTAGAGTTGACGATGTACTCAGTGCAGCCTGCAGTTGCGATGCCTACAATATAAGGAAAAAACTTACTCCAGTTCTTCGATAGACACGAGGGATTCCACGATGCGCGGATTGCGCTTCACACGTGCTACAGCTAAAATGCATAACCCTAGAATTGAACCCGGAACCTTCAGATTATCAAACACCACCACTCCCCAACTTACCTGTAATACAGGTAATGCAGCCTTCGCATGAACAGTGAGGAGCAACTCACCAGCATTAGGGCACAGAATTAACGAGACAGTCCCTTCCACTCCAGACAAATGCTCTCGTATCTAACTCGACATTCCTTCACCCGCCTCACACTGTTACGCAGTGCCTCACAATTAACACACTTTGGGCGATGACCGGATGATACACACGATTCAGCAACTTCGCAGTAGCCTCTACTGCCTGAAACAACTGATGACAAATCAAAGTCTTCCCAAGAACAACCAACATCGTCTCGGTCCAACACTTCCTCGAGGACCAACTCGCCAGGGGTCTCCGACAGTAAATGCAGTACACAAGTCGAACAGTAATGGAGATGGTCAGATCTCAACACACTTATCTGATACAAAAATCGACAAATGCAATGACCCGAATTAGTACTCACCTTCTCACTGCTGCGATCCTGAGAAGGTCTCGGCTTCCTCCTCACATTACAACAGTTACCAAAGCCCTTGGGAGTGGCTACACCCCAGGTGGCCTCCATTAATTGTGGCAACCGATCCAGTAGACTGATGCAACTCCTCTTAGTACGACCAAATAGATCTACAGCAAATCAGCATACCATCCATTCTACACATCACGATTGCTCACCCTCCCTTCCTTCCTGAGGCCACAGAAAGGACACAGCGTACTGATCTCCACTGCTTTCGTAACTCCTCAAGTACGTCTTCAATGCCGAAGTCACCATGCTCACTTTACGTTCTAGATGGGCATCATAGGCCGCACTCGACAACACCTACCACACCAGACTGAACTATGGTGAATCTCTATCTAGTATAACCATAAGCCATCACAGATATACAAGAAACTCTACGACTAAGGCCTGACTTATCGAGTCAGAATAATGCAATACTCTCGTTGCATAATTCTACTCTGCGAAAATCTGAAAATGAATCCGGCCTTGTGATTGGACCAATAACGATGCAATAACATATACCGTAAAACACTGAACCTCAAGACGAATCGGACAATAGATAAAACCACTGCAACAAGTCTAGCATTCACATAACGATACGATATCAGTGATGAACAGTTCCCACTTCCTTACTCGATCAGCTAAATAGGCTTCTAATTGGGCACTAGTCAGAGAACCGTGCATACTGTTGGCCATTGAATATGGCAAAAGTCTACAAATACTATAAACTCCCATAACACAACAGTTGAGCCTATTACATAGAACGCTAACGATATAATACTATTTATCGACAACACACGATTATGCTCACTGATTATGATGTCCCATCACATATTACACAAACAACAACAAGAAGAAGCCATCCTTCACCTCATTAAGAAGGCGTCACAAGCTTCCTTCGGGCCTTACTCGAGATCAACGCAGCACATGTAACAATAACCTGCGCTTCGTTCAATTTGGTCGAGAACGGTTGATGGCCAGGACCGTATAACTCCCCCAACTTTATAAAGGGTCCACCTTCCCTTATAGTAACTTCAAGCTCCCGAGTAAAGTACCCTTTCTCATACCAATTCCGCATTTCCGCAAATGTAAACGGTCCGCGTTCAGTTCCCCTCGGGTCCTTATACCTCCACAATTTATGTCCGGATGGTATCGCATTAGAAGCTCTTGTGATCGCCTCAACCCTCTGCTGTAAAGAAAGCTTCTTAGCGATATCTTCCTGGCTAACCGTATTCTTCTTAGACCAATTCCCGTACTGCCCCTGGGCCTGCGGCCTCGAAGGACCAACTGTACCGTAGAACTGCCCAGGGATGAACTCAGCCGCATTTGCTGACAGCTCCTTCCTCAGACCTTTGGTACCCCCCAGAGTGGTAGTGGAGCTAGTTGAAGTAGTATCATTATCATTGATAGTCATCAACAAGGCCTTCAGTTCACGATTAACGCTCAGGTCATAAATATCAATATCGTCATTCTTCTGAGCATACACCAACTTATCCAGCTCCTTCTCAGTGAGCCTATGATATGCACCCTCAGTGCCCTGCTCCTGCTGCTGGTCAACACTGCTCATGGCCTTTAGTTGCTTTGACGCGCCAGCAGCTACACCGGACGGACCTTCAGAGGAGTAGATGGGCTTATCGCCGCCGTTCGCATTATCATTTGGAGACGACTGGTCTTGTCCCATTGCTGGGAACACAAACTGAACAGTGAGGATCAAGTGCTGATTAACGCCCAGGAAGGACAATCTCAGCGATTGGATGTTCATCAGTTGGGAATTTACCCTCGAGCTAAACTCTTTTGAATGATGATACTAGAGAGAGAACTTACCTCACATATACTGAGGCCACTAATGCAATGTCAAAGTTGGGATGCATAACTCTACCTTTTGTACACCCATAGGGGCCTATAGCGAGCTCGGAGCGATTCAACATCGGATCACTTGCTCTCTCGGTAAATCTTAAGTTTCCTCAGCAAGCGGTCGCAGGTTCGATCCCCGGTCACGTCATCACGCAAGGCGACGCATTCTCTCACATATCATTAATGATGATACTCAACAGCAGCAGCCATGCCCCCCAAATAGCTGCCTACCAGTCGGATCCTCGCAGACTCTCTCTACAATCCCTACAGACTCAACTGGTATCAACTTCTTTGAATCTACCATGCAATGTGTGGGAAAATATGCACATGTGTGTTGATGACAATATGAAAATTCGAAGGAGATTTATAAAAAATTCTCATTGATATCGGTACACTTCCAGCCGAGTTCATATATAAACTTGAGGAAACTTCTGAGCTCAGCTGAGGAAAGCGAACCCATATATTCCTCCATTACTGCCTCAGGTGTCCGGTCTAGCGGCGGCCCCTCCCAAAGCTGCTAGCAGTAACAGCAGTAGTTCAACGAAGACTCAAAAGAGTAGGGTATCTCCCAGCGATAAATGACTTTCCTATTTTTCTATCAGTTTCGACCGATTTAACCCGCCGTTTGATATTCCCGAGTCACATCGTGACACCTCGTAGACCAGCGACCTCTCAAGATTCCTCATGGTCTAAACAACTACGAGAAGAGAACAACAAACTACAGCTAACACGGTGAGCGGAGAAATTCGTTTTCCCTATCAATCACGCATACAATCCACCGTCACGTCATAAAACCTCATTCGCGATCATTGGGAATTTAATTTCCGAGTGTGCCCCCGATACGATCGACGATATGACGTATTCACACATGTCGTTAGTTGGCCTGATGATTGCGCCTATAACGTAAGGTGCTGAGGAAGAGCACTACACCATTCGAAAGGGTGACACGGACCATCATCAACTCAATAGATTTACTACAGTTGAATCACCTCTGATAAATCTATGGATAATAACTGTTAGTGTTTCGCCAGACTGGACTGAACTCTGCACCACTGAGGTCTCAAAGAATGAAAATCTAAGTGCCTCATGATCTCTTATACAAAGTCAAATCTCTTGAACCGAGCTGATCATCATAAAAAGCTTAGGCTGCTCTGCCAAAAGTGAGATCGATGACGTAATAGGCGTTCATGATCAATAACATGTGCGCGCGTGCGACGAGCATCCCTTGCACGCATACGCTGTCTAAAGGCGCCTATTCAGAGGGTGCTCTAACAATAACCTGATCGACTCAGTTGATTAGGTTATCATTAATGAGTTGTAGAATTGAGGCTGTCACCACAACCGAAAGTTTATCATCAATCTCGTCTAGAAATTCAATTATTATTCACTATGCGAGAAAAAAAATTAGTTCTTTGCAGCATGGAAATTCGAATTGTGTAGTTTTCAAATTCATGAATAAAATTCATCGACCCGATATCACAAAATCAATTTCGGCCAATTTTTTCCCGAATTTAATACTATCACGTGTACTATATAGCGACTCCAAGTATTCCGCTACTCCACCAGTTTACTATCAGATTGAAGTCCCGCCTCGAAGCTGAGCAACATGCAATGGAAAAACTCTCTGGTCAAACCAAGTGCTTAGAGAACGAGCTCGGGACTCAGGAAACGACCATTCGAGGTGAGAGCAGCTTCCTATCGTGTATACAGTGTGTTCGTTTTTGATAGTTCAAAACGAAAACTTTGCTGAAATCAACAATACTATATCGGAGTCTCAACCGTTTTACGTGAAGAGCTGTGATATTCCATGTGAAAAACGCGAGCTTCGAGATATGATATGAATTCAAAACACATGGGGAATTACACCGGAGAAATCACCTCGTAAAACACATCACGTATTCTACGCGTTATTCACTGCTCACACGCGTTTTTCGCGAGATGAAGTGTAGAATGTGTTTTCATATTACGCGTGAAACTCGACTGTATAACCAAATCTAATCGATATTAGATTATAACGAGGAGCTCAATGTGGCTGAGGAAGCAGCGAGAGTGGCCCTGATCGAGAGCATCGGCCTGCAGAGGAAACTGTGCGAGATATGTCGCCATTTGGAAGTCCGAGCTGCATTCCAACAGTCCATACGTAAATACGCCAATGATTTCGAGTGTAATCAGCTCGATTTACGGTATGAGAATTTCCCTGTAAAAAAGTTGACAAAGTGTGTGTGGGCAGTTTTATGGGTCCTCCTCCTAGTAGTCGATCGACTCTTTACGATAGAAGCATGGAGAGCTGCAAGTAGTAGGGGGAGTACTCTAGTTGTTATTGACTTTTCCGGTCAGTTCTTCGGTATATTCCCAAGGTCCCCCGGTCAAGACCCCTCCTAGAGTGAGTTGTGTTTTTTCTGCCACTTTTGCATGTTACTATTGGAGGAATATATATATTCGCTTTCCTCAGCTGAGCTCAAAAGTTTCCTCTATAATGAAACCAATAAGAATTTCCGCAAAATTTCCTCATAATTTTCATATTGTCACCAACACATGTAGTCAACCATGTGCATGTTAGGTTACCTCTAGCCATACGGATGCTGATGATGAGTTTTGGGCGGCACTCAGGCAACAGATTAATAACATTGATAATTGGCTTACTCCTCACAGAGGCAGACGAAGCGGTAAGTGGGGAGTGTCCATTTATGGAGTAGACAATCGGATACTGGTGACCGATCATATATACTTGTAACTTGTAATAAATATTACATATTACTTATACACTGAGTTTTTGGACTACAGTACCCCCACTGACTACTGACACACTAGTAGATAATTCATAGTGAGCCTCGTTATCATAGGCAACTAAGCAGCGTTTTTTTTTCTTAGGCAAATTCAAAAAATCTGTGTTTCTCGCTAACGAATCAGAGTTTCGAGCTGAAACTTCAACAGGGTATAGTTATCATCAAGATACACCACATGTTGAGTCGAAGCGGTCATGTTCGGAACGGTTACTGATATATCATGGCTTATAACGAACTAAGATTGGTCATCTAAAACCCATTGAAATGGGTGTCAATGACCGATTGAGCTGTTTTTCATGATCTATAGTAGTACTTAGTATGAGGAGTAAGTAATACTAATCCTACTACACTAGTTTTAATACTAGCACTGTATTACACTGGTAATACACTTCAAGTAGTTGAAATGAGAGTTAATTGTAGTAGTGCTACTATGAAATACTACTAGCGACTTGCTATTTGTATGAGTACTTATAATACTAATACACTACTGTAAGCACTGTAGGTTTGATACTAGCAGTAGTAAGACACTCAGTTGTAATGAGAATCAATTGTAATACACTTGAATGAATATTCACTACTGATTGCAGTAATAGAATAGTACTGGTAAAATTAGTAGGAATTAGGTTTTCTCATTATTATAAGCTTACATATTTCTTGTTGGAATTTCAGCTCGAAATTTCCAGGACCTAGTTGACGACTCGAAATACTGAAATTTCTACTACAAGTTTGAATGCATTATATTGTTATTCATTCAATATCGTATTTGAAATCGATAGTTTCAGTACATCCTTCTGTTTGAACTTGAAATATTCTCAAGATTGTCTGTAGTGTTGTCCTTGTGGTTTGTCGGTTTTTCTATCAGAATTTCACATTCGCCTCAGGTGCAGCTGAGGATCCTCCTCAAGGCAACTATCAGTCACATACGACTCTAATAGGAACACCAGGTGAGCAACTCTCTATCACCTACAATGATGAAGCCGTGCTGGTTTTAGATAGTAGGGCCCGATCTGTATCGGCAGTAGGGGAGAGGACACCATTAAGGGAGCAACTACAGTACGCTTTGGAAGTTAGCAGTATCATGTGTGGTAATAGTGTTACTGTTCATCTGCTCTCGTGTTGATGTACTACTCTAACTCAGCGAAAAGTGATAGTTGGTGGAATATATGTTCGCTTTCCACCTCAGCTGAGTCTGGGTAGTTTTTCTGAGTAATTATAGAAGTTATATACAAATAGGGTAGAAGTGTACAGAAACCAACGAAAAATGTCAGCAAATTTGCCCAGAATTTCCATGTTGTAGTCATAATAGTTAGGCTCTTATCTAGTCCATTATCATGACCACTTATACGATAGACTTTTCATAGCGGCAGTTTACAGTGTTGTTCACTTATTTCAGCCCGCACAGCAGTATTAATCTCGAAGTTGGACGGTTGGTTCGACGCGAATCCTGAGATAACAGTTCCCGCACCACGACGACAATCTATGGAAGAGGAGTTGGCCAGTCCGGACGATGATAGTAGCGGTTCGGAAACTTGGGTGAGAAGTGACTACTTCTCTAGTTTGGATAGTTATATTCTTTTACTTTTCCTGGACAAAAATGTAGTTATATTTGCAGACCAAAGCGACCAGCACATTCTCGTTATGTGTCTTCTATTCCGGGATTATTGATAGTGAACAACTTGTCACTATCATAGTCTCGAAAGGTTACTTTAATACTGTTGAATTTCCATTCCTGAGCAGTTACACTATACCAACGTGTGTAGGTCCCTGAGAGGCCTTCAACGGCATACGTCCACCGTACGGGCTACACATCAACAATGGCCCTCCCAGATGGGTCCAATCAATATATGGTAGAGTACTCAATTGATGGTTGTCAGTTTGTTGGAATGTGAGACTAGGTTCAACCATCCGAGTTGCAACGTACTCCCTCGGTGCCTGCGGGGACTACCACTACTTCGGTGTTCGCAAGGTGAGTTGGGTTAGTGATGGAATAGTGGTCCACACGCAAACTGGGAATCGAATATCTCGAAAACTCAATAGTTTTTCCCTAGAAGGACATTATTATTACCATCCGGGAAAGTCCACGGTGGAAATTCGTCATTTTCGAGCGCCCCGTTCTAATACAGGGCTTTCTTTTTTCTGGTGGTTTTTCATCGGATCGGTCCTCTGTGTAGGATGCCACCGACTCTGAGAGCAAATCCAATGTTCACGAGAAGGATGGACCTAGAAAGGCCCTACACTTATCGCTAGCCTGAAGGATGGCCATAACATCATGCGTTGTTCTAAGAGTGGTGTATTTGGCTGACCGTTTTGGGTTATAGTGTCAATGAAATTCATGAGAAAATACGCACATGGTCAACATTTGCTATATGGGCAAGAGAAAAGCACTCGTAGTCTCGAATCGACCTTGACTACGGGAGTGTCTTCTTCCCAGTGTGGGAGAATATACGCATGATCAACTACATCGGTGTCGGTGACAATATGGAAATCTCGAGGAAATTTGGGGAAATTCTCATTGGTTTCTTAACACACTTGTACCGTTATTCGTATATAAACTTCTTTAATCAGCGAGGAGACTCCTGAGCTCAGCTGAGCAGAGCGATCATATATCGAGGGTGCTACATTCGAACACAAACCCTTATCGAGAGTGTTGTGTTGGACACACTATGTGACGCACAGGCGAGCGTCGCTCAGTTGAGCTTATCATGGACGTTTACGGTACCGCTGAACTAGCGCGGTTCACCGCAGTACCGGAGACTCTCGAGGTTGGGGTCTGACACGAATGTATCATACCACACTTCTTTCAGATCTCGGATGATGGGCGGTCCGATCTGTCTACTGAGAGGTGGAATTCTGACGATGAACCTCCAGTTGAGAAGGTCAACGATAGGATGGTCATCAGTCGTGATGGTCGGTCGGTCCGCGCCGCGGAGTAAAGATTCACCTCAGCGAAAAATGGTACCAAATTTGATGTCTGTTTGAGGCACTCTAATTTCCTTGGAATGCGGTCAACGCACAGTTGAGTGCGTGACCCGAGTATAGCGCACGAATAAGCTAATAACGAGCCTACTTGTTGTCGTTCTTGGAGTATAGCGTCCTCTGATTGACAGCAAGTAGTGTAACAATACTCCGATCAGTGTCGTACGAGGTTCATTGATACGCATTGTGTTGAAGGTCGGTGTGCACGGCGATAGCGGTATGGACAGACCGGGGAGATATGACAGGGTCCGCATCAAGTAGGCTGACCGTGTACGAGGATGAGGAGAAGGAGGAGCCCTGGTGGAGTTGTAGGTTCATGGATATATCATCGCACTGTGAAGAGTTCACTTCACTCGAGGCGGCTACCTGGGCGGACCGAGGTGAAGGTCTCGAGTTCGAAGTCGGCAGCTGTGATCCCCGAATACCCAGCGCTATCGACGTTGGAGTCAGGTGAGGCGGCAACTACTGCTACTACCACTACTCTTATACTGTGCACTTCACCCATTTTCTCGTGTCACTATTGAGCTGCCATCGCGGAGAGGGAGCTACATATACGAGCAATTTCCTCTGTTTTGGACGCTTTGATTCACGACGAGCCATACCCGAAGGCCATATCCTATGCCAAGGAAATCTGCAGTTGCACGAACGAAGTCTGATTAAGCCTAAAGCAGGCATCAGACTATAATCACAACAACAACTGTCACTGCTACTGGGGTTAAGGAGAGAGTCTAGCCAGGCGTTTTTATATGTAGCTTGCCTCGCTAATGCGACCAGATTCGTATTTCACTGATCCTCATGATGAGGTGCAATATCAACTAGGTACATGACGGTCGGATCGGTGTGCAGGATAGAGTCGTCTCGTAATCCGGCTTGGAGGCTGCCTTATGATGGACAGGAGGTGCAGGGAGGATGGGATGAAAATCGACCTACTAGGAAAAGGTAACAAACGTGTTGTTAGGTCTCGACCTGTGAGGGGCGTGCTCGATGGTGAATATTCAAGTCGTGAACGGACGCTATCGACTTCGCAATGTTGTGGTATTGATTCTATGGCAAGTTGGTATCCTTCCGAAGGACTCCTTGGTGACTCCACCGACTTCGTCCTGTGCTGATCTGACTTTCTTCTGTGGCGAATAGAAATCAAATGTTTGGAAAATGAATATCTCTGTGAATGGCTTTCTTGGTAGAAAACCGACTTCAGAATCTATCTCAGCGATGTTAATTGCATAATAAAGCTCAAACAGCTCATCGTAATCAGTGTTACCCAGTCAGCGCCAGAGAATTCCACCCGTGCATGCCAATCATTATCAGTGTCATCATTCTGCACGAAGGGGACTTCACAAACGTCGCGACAGAAAACGACAGAAAACATATTTTCATCCAAAGTGATATTTACAGCGCAGAATCTATCTCGGCGATGTTATTTGCATAATAAAGCTCAAGCAGCTCATCGCAATCATTGTTACCAAGTCAACGCTGAAGAATTCTACTCGTGTCTGACATCACTGCAATCCTGTAGGTTCCAGTTTATGGCATCTCCTCCTCGCCCTTCGAGCGACACGATCAATACTGATCAGCCTGTGGTCTACATCATACACCTTGAGGGGGTTGATAGATGCTACGTCCTCCATGAAGACGGCCTTGTGCGGAGATGGGTATCCATCTTCCCCCTCGATTTACCATGCGGTACTCTCTATCTAGGTCCTCCGCAGGCGGGACCCTCGCAGGGCTTGGAAAGCGCCCCCGAAGGTTGGAGACAAGGTTGCGATTGTTGTGGTAAGTCCTTGGTCAGAAGTAGCCTCATTCAACTTGGCTGATTTTGTCTCGGCATCTTTATCGAACGACACCATAATATCCTCATAGTTATATTATTTATTATTATCAGCATATACGTACCCCTAGGGATCAGCAGATTTGAGGTTTCAATCCATAGGAGCGACTTGACCACTCGGGTGCCGTGTGTCATTCACATGACCGAAGCGATATACATATATTCTGTGGGTATCATCATGGCGATCGCGCCAACATATCTTCCTCGAAACCGTTATCGTTTCGGATGCTCATGACCGCCGCGAACTATACCCAAACTACAGACTCCTTTTCTGATCTATTCGCTTCACCTATCCATTGTTGCGCTATTACCAATGGATAAGCAGAGCCGCAAGCAGAGAATGCGTGAGCAACAGTGTCGGTTGTAATGTACGTTATATATTGTATAATGACGAATGTAGTGAACGCTGTTATTCTCTTGTGTGTCAGGATGGTGGCAAAGTAGAGGAGAGAGTATTAGAAAACTCTTATCTGGATAGAGTTATCACGACTATGAGGGTGAGTATCTTCTGACCATCACTAGCATCGTTCTGTTGTTAGATCGGGGAGAAAGCGAGAATTACAATCCTTGTGCCTGGGCATGAGAAGTCTGTTGATGAACTCGAGCTCATCGATGTACTTCGCGTATTCCCGTTGTTATCAGAAGGCCTCTTTATGAGAGGTACTCGCACACAGCTGGGTGGTCTCCCCCCGAGATGACAAAATCCGTTTACTTGACAAGCAGGAAATGTATCAGAGCATGGGCCTGCCCTTGGGTAGTCGCATTACTATGGGATACGCGCGAACTCGATGTAAAGGTCGATCGTTGATGGTCGAGGAAGGCTCGAAGGTCACTGTTGGTATCATGGGAGCTCCTGGTGTAGAGGCAGTGGTCTTACAGTGGATGTGAGGACATCCTGTCATTGCTGGGAATATTCGTGGCTTGAGCGGTTTGGTACCTCGAGCGTGATTCCCTTCTTGTCAGATGCGGGTGTTACTGTGTGCATCCAATCTTCGATGCCATGGTCCGATCCATGCGAGTGGGCGAGCGGGCACTCTTCACAGTGAGCCCATTCACAGGGAAGAGGCCCGATGCTTTTCCTGGAGAGTTTTCCTCGGATAGAAGCGTTGGATCGTTGGAACTCTAGCATCTAGAGAGTCTTCGTATCCGCTGAGATTTGTGGCCCTAACTGAATCGCCGGCTACGTTCGACTTTATTCTGAATATCACACGGGACAGTATGAGAAGAATTCTCTTTATTTTCGTCAGCCTGGTGAAGGAATCGATCGAGAATACCTATGCGATAAGAGGTTGTGTGTCAATGGCGAGCTGGAGCCTCCCATAGTCCTCAATACGGGTACGAGTATGGAGGAGGCCATCTCCAAGTCTGTTGATACATGCTCCGGTGAAGTACAGAGGCTCTCGGCTGTGGAGGAAAGAGGACAACTATTGAGTGAATTTGACTTCGCGTCTTGCGAGATGGTGCTCATATCCGTTGATGAAGAGGAAAACGAGGCTTGCAATGAAGGTGAGAGGCAGCAGCCTCATTGTCCCATCAGTCCATTCTGGTAGCCGTGTTGCGACGATCAAGACTAAGGAAGAATACGGGGAATCGTCTGTTGGCAGTTGGTGCGCCGAGCGAGGCTCGATCAGAGTAGGCGTCTGGTCGGTCACTTGATTGATCGGTACGCGAGGTACATGAAGGCTCTTAGCACGCTGAGGTTGATGCAGAGACCTCCTTTGGAGGAACCATCTGATGAGGAGAAGGCTCTGGAGCTCGCTGTGGGTATGCGCCTCAAATTTGGGACTCATATTAAATGCAGGTTGTCCTCAATCTCGCCCTCCTTTGTTTGAAGCAGGCAGACTATTCCGAGGGTCAACTATTCGCGACGCGGGCGAGAGAAATCGATCCAGACAACATCAAGGCTAGGTATGGAGAGATTGTCGGTTGGGGAGTCTTCAACTGCGTCTCAGATACCGATTGGCGTTGGCGTTAGTGGAACAGCATAAACAGACGGATGAGGCAGTGGGCATCCTCAAGGTGATGATCGATGGTAGGTTCTCTTATCACGCCTGAACGTGAGTGTCAGGGAATTTTGGAGGAATGCTCTGAGGCACGAAGCTTGCTTCATCGACTTAAGAAGGACATGCAGGAAGATCGTAAGAGAGAAGAAAATCTTTTCAAGTCCATGTTTCGAGCCTAACTCAATTGTTCCTTGTTGGGATTATGCCGCCATGAACAGAGCGCATTGCCAATACGGTGTTGATGTCCGGTGCCTCCTGTCGTTCCCTTGTGTAAACACGACCCGACACTAGCTGGAGAGATGCGAACCAATTTGGTCGAAGCATTTACGTTTGGTTCAACCAAACGTAAATGCTCAAGATCAACAGTACGGAATGTTTCCTATGCTCAAACCCTTGTACGCAAGCACAAGGAGAAAGTCTGTACGCATGTACAAAAAGGTGACGCTTAGTCCAAAGTGTTAGAGGCTCCACATCCGACACGAAGGTAATTGTACATCCTAGCCTTCGTGGATAGTATTAATACTGACCTTGATAGTGCGGGAAAACTAGTAGTTGAGGGATATATATAAGTTTCCAGTCATTCTCCTGCCAGCCAACGTCTCGGTCGACCACGCAGTCTTTCATACGGCACTCCTCGCCGTTCTCGTTATTGACAACGACTCAGTGTTGGCTTGTCACAAGTAACCGCCGTTCGTCATTAGATCGAGAGCAAAGAGAGCTCCCCGATGGATTATGTTGAGATCTTTTGCGGACGGGAATCCCCTTAGACTTGGATTCTGGTGGTATGTCAATAGGTCGAGGTATGGTATACGAATTTCTGGCGCGGATATGCAAAGCCTTGTGGACCGGGATCGGGGATAAATAAGGGGTCGTGTTGGATTGCATACCTCCAGACTCTCGCTGTCGGGCATCGATCCGAATTATCGTGTCTCTGTCCCCTGTTGTTCACGCTATAATATCATTTAGCTAGGCTATGGCTATAATGCTTATATGTGTGTATACTCTCTAAGTATGCTTCCTTCCTCATACTTATCCCTTGCGTTGTGATATGTCTGATTCTATTGACAACGTAGTTGACATTGCGCGGCGCCTCATTTAGAGCCCTAACACCCAAAATGAAGCCTCAAGGGCAGCGTTGAGATGCGTTGCTTCACACAAAGACGCGTAAAAGAAGAAGAACGGCGAATAGGTCACTCTCTGGTACACTCGATATTGCAGTCTTTCGGATAGTATGGTTCAGATAACCCGTCAACTTACTTGGGGTAGTTGATCAAGCTGTCCATGGAACTCGATGCGGGGGCCAAGTAGTGTCTCTTCTCTATCTTCCCTCTCACGCCGCATGTTCCGCCGCTCACTTGGTCATTGCCGTCGGCAATTTGCCGAGGAATGAAATCTATGGCTGACCATCATCATCACCATAGATGGAGAAATAAACACCACTCATTTACATTACACTTAAACTCGTACGCCAGGTATTACAGGGAGAACTTTCCGCATGTGATCATCATATGAATTGATAGTCTGTACCATCTATATCCTTCAGGGCTATGTTGAACGTTACTGTGACTTCTAACCCAGACGAAGCAACACGTAGTACTGGGAGAAGAGTATAGCAGACCTAGTCAGTAGTCATTCCCTTACTATCACGACCATCACTCCCAGCGATAATCCTCGGATCCTTGAGCCGGGCCGGACTGCCCGTGAGCCAGCCCATGACCCTAGACCGCCAATTGCTGCTGCAAGGACGGTATACGAAACAAGTCTTGGTGTGGCGACCTGTCGAGGTGGGCAAGTACACGCCGCTGTACGGATGAGGAATATACCAGGGGAAGTCGGGACTGTGACAACACTATAGCCAGCGACCACTCGCCTACCGAGCCAATCATCGCCCTCGATCGTCAATATTAACCTGTTGAATAATTAGACATAATTAGAATGGAATAAACTGCAACAGAGATTTTGCGGCATTTCACCTCGGCCAGCCATGAGGGTTGGTCGAACGGTAAGTGAGGGCAAGTGGTAGGTTCCACACGATGTCATCCGCTTGGACGCCAATGCTGCTACTAAGGGCACCGCTGCTCAAACGAGGATGCGAAAATTGGCTCATGCCTTGGATGGAACCATGGACCTTCCGCATGTAAGCATGCTCATCATCCCAACTAACGTAAACCCACGAGTGTCCAGTCCGGCGTGGCGCTATGAAATGTATATGACACCGCTAGAGGGCCGTAACCGACCGCACCAACCTGTACCAAAACGCCCAATAACACGCGTGCCTCCTACACGCACCTGAGCGCCGTCGATACAGCCGCTGATGGCCAGGACGAATTCTGTGGTCGCCCCAGGCTGCCCAGCACGTACTGATGACGACCTCTGCTGCACACCAACAGATAATCCTGATAGATGCATATTGAGACCATCACGATACTCAACTAATACTCCCAGCTCCACTAGATGATAGGGATTGTCGCTTATCGATAGGATGAGGGTCTACGGACCCTACAACAGCAGAGCTTGAGCATGCGTGCACGACAGCTTTTCCGTGGAGGCCTCACCCGCTTTGACTGTCTGTGAATCCTCGGCCGGGAGAAGCATCAGAATGATGGAGAACTGTATCATACCATACGTCGAGCAAATTCCCAGCGCATTTTGAATTCACTGTACACAAAACTCAGACAATCTATTTGGTATACAAAGAAAAGGTGTTTCTAACTACTACTACTACTATCGCGTGATGGTCCTCAACTTCTAGTTGCCTGCGCCCATATCAAAGAGGTAGTTCACAGCAAGCTCCACGTTACCATCGCAGACACGCAAAGCCTCAAGGTTAGCCGCCCTGTATGAGACGATGATTATAGGCAGTTCATTCAAAGGGGAACTCACGTGTCGACGAAACCCATGGACCGCAACGTCTCCAACTCGCTAGCATATCTCTGCTCCAGCTCAGCTTGGTTGGGCGCGGGAATAGCTCCAGCTCCACCACCAGCTAAAAATCATATTGTCATACCGTAAATCTAGCACATCCTACATACCCAGCATCTGAGCCATAAGAGGGTTGTTCTGCATGGCCTGCATCATAGAAGCATAGTCGGGCTGCCCTGAAGTCGCTGGGCCTGCAGACGGAACACATAAAAACGGTTATCAAAACAAATACTACCAGTTGCAGCAGGATTCGGTGGTGCAGTGCTCTGAGCAGGAGTGGTAGTAGTAGGCACCGGGGCTGCGGGAGCTGGTGCTCCTTGTTGTTGTTGCTGCTGATTGCCAGCCTAAGAGACACCGATATACAATTCTCCTAGGAATGACCATACTACTACTACCATAGCTTGGTTCAACTGCATCATGGCTTGCATCGTCTGTGGGTTCATCAAAAATCGTAGGAGATCAGGGTTGGACATAATGGCAGCCATTTGGGGGTTCTGAGCCTACCAAGAGGGCAGCCTATGTCGAATGACAAGGCGCTAGTAGTAGCACTCCTACTACTACCATCATCTGTTGCATCATGGGGTTAGTGGCCATCATCTGCTGTAACAATTGAGGATTCTCAGCGAGGGACTAACCAGGGAGGATACACCACCGCTTCGATAACGAGAACAACCACTACCTGCATGGCCTGTTGGACCATAGGACTTTGCATCATTTGTGACATGACTTGAGGATCTTGCATCATAGCGTTCATACCAGCGCCCATGCCTCCACCAGCACCAGCTCCCTGGGCCATAGCTTGAGCCATGGCCTGCTGCATATAGTCATTACTAGGTGCTGTAGGAGCGACCGGAGGAGTGGGAGTTACTGCTGGAGTTGGTTCCACAGGTGTAGGAGCAGGAGCAGCAGGAGCAGCAGCAGCAGGCGTCGGCTGACTACTGCCAGCAGGAGCAGCGCCCTTGACCAGATGAATTGTATGGCCGCTCTCGATCTTGTGTTGGCCAACGGTATCAGCATCCTTCAGAATCCGGCCCTTGTAGATGAGTCTTTGCTGCTCCGCTGGGACTCCGGACTTCTCCACACAACCTTTCTTGACGTCACCAATGGTGGTCTCAGGGTCGAAGCTCTGCTCAAACGAAGAGCCACCCGAAACCTTGAAAGTGATATTAATAGACATGTAAGATGATGATTATGAGCAACTATGGTAATCTCAAAAGGGCATAGTTTCAGAATTTCTCACTGTAAGTGAAACCGATACGAAAATCGGAGTTTTAGTGTAAATTATTGACCATTTTTTCGCATCGTTAAATTCACGACATTTCCATCGAAAATTAACTCATTTCTAGTCAGCGTTCGATACAAAGAACTGAGCCACATGGAATCAGAAGAACGCAACTGTTAGACGCGCCTCTGACGACCGGAATAGCCTTGAGCAAATGGATCATCGATTTTTTTGAGTCCGCTAGGAGCGCGTCACGCGCCACATAAATACGCGCGCGCCAAGTACGATATCACCATCACTAGAAGGTTGCCAACTTTTATTGAAGATGCTACGCTCTCAAGCAGGCCTCCTGACGAGGCCCTTACGGCTTTTGACAGCCTCTAGTCGAGTCCTGCCATTATGCAATAGAAGCCTCACATTCTGCACTAAGACCAGCGATAAAGTTGAAAACACTTCTACCAGCACTAGCTCGGAGTCTTCGTCGAGCAGTAGCGGCTCTACTACGAATAAGAGCAACAAGCCCGACTTCTGGGCCGGTCCTAAGATGCTCCTGTCAACTGTGGGCTCCATCGGCGTGCTATATGTCAGCTACTACTTTTATAAAGCCAACTTCGACGTGGAGCGAACGAAGCAGCTGTTGAAACAACAGTATCAGCAGTGGCCCCTTTACCCTCCACCAGGGCCGTCTCA